ACTGGCCTGCAACGAGGCCGTCTGCGCCAGTATCGTCTCCAAGTGCATGCTGACCGGCAGCTGCAAGTGCGACATGACCGACCTGTCCAACTGCACGTGCTGCAAGGAGTGCTCCGAGTGCCTCGACAACTTGTATGAGGAGTGCTGCTATTGCTTCAGTGAGTGCCCTTTCGAGGGGTCAGGGCGATGGAAGGTCGTAGTCTCAGGCCTGTGTCACCCTTCTCCTGAATTATTTCGCTACCGAAGGTGTTAGCTGGGTATGTAGTCCTGTCGTTACGACACCTACTGAATCTGGTGTAAGACGATTGTCTCGACAAAACGGCCCGTCAAGTTTAGTCCAGCTGAGCTGAGACTTGCTCCGAGAAACCGGGCATGACAATCTGTCCAGGCGAAATTCTCCCGCAGTACATACATACCTACAGTAAACGCATCGCACACATGACTATAGAATATAGATACAGACAGATCAATCAGCCTCGCCGAATAGTTGTATGCACGCGATTGATGTTCTAAAAAGACAGCCACTTATTTTTGGGACGTACAGGTTCCCCGTTTACCTGCCCCTTTGTAGTGAGCGTATAGCACCGCCTTCCGTGACGGGCCATGGGCTTCTCGGGACCAGACGCGATTATACATTCCGGCCGGGAGAAGGCAGGCCGACTGGTTCGTCGCAAACCGGTTTCCGTTCGCCGTACTGTCTGCGGCGCCACGGCAAAAACGGCCGGCGCCGGGCTGTGCCAGCTCCCCGGCACGCGGTCCCTATCGGCCGCGCCGGCTCCGCAGGCTCTCGGCACACCTTGAGCACGCCAGGCTGTCCACGATTCAGAGAGATAGGGCTGTGACGGCCAACCCTTGGTGGTTAGCTGTATGTATAGCCCTCTGTGCTTTGATTCACTCGGCGGGATAAGAGGTCTCTTACTCGTACCTACTTATCGCCATTTCAGTGTCCTAATGAACCCATCAATGTTTTTTTTTTAATAACTATATACAAAATGCACTTGAGTCATGTTTGGCCGCGTATCAAAGGAGTCAAAAACGGATAAGTCGCACGAATTTTGTCATTTGATTATCACCCCGTGTAAACAGAGGTACGGCGCCACCGAGATTCGATCTCACGCCGCGCTGTTCGCTCACTAATCATTCACCTGCCCTCCCTACACTGCAGAGATGTGCCCGAAGCCGGAGCGCAGCTGGTCCGATCTGGCCATGCACTCTGAGGTGGAGGAGTTCCACGACCCCGAGATCGGCCTCTTCAGCACCCTGACCAACAAGCACGACCCCAAGCAGCGCTGGATCAGCTATACGTTTCCCGTGGACCACCAGATCGTCGACTTTGGACACAAGTACCAAATCCGAATAGGTGAGCCTCGGGGCGGTACTGTTTTACATATATAACTCGTAAGACCTCGTTAGTGATCAGTGCTGTGGATTTATTATTTTCCTATTAGGGCTCACCATCACCGTCTACACCCACACCTCTCCCTCTCTTTACCAGTGTCAGTGGACGAGAGCGCGCCAGAGGGCGGCACGGAGCCGCAGCAGGTGACCGTCAACTGCACGGTGGCCTACCTGACGCAGTGCCGCTCCTGGGCCAAGTGCTCCTTCTCGTGCCAGACCATGGGCGCCAGAAGCGTGCGCTGGTTCCACAACGGCTGCTGCGAGTGCATCGGCAGCACGTGCATCAACTTCGGTATCAACGAGAGCAGGTATGTGCCGAGCGGAGGGGTGGAGTGGAGGGCGGTGCAAATGTCAGACACTGAGCTGGATTGTACGATGACCGAGAGAGAGAGAGATGGAAGGTGATGGATAAATAACGAATTAGCGCGCTGTGCGGTAGCTATACCGGGCCACGTGAACAACACTACACATGAGCGCAAAGGGAATTGGGTTTGCAGTCATGACAAACCGCCTCCGGTTGTCACTGAATCACTAACGTGACCTTCTTCTCACATACACTATCAAAATCACATATCACATGTAACTATCAAAAGGTTTCCCGCTTCATTCGGAAATTGGGAACGCGCCGGATGCAAATAAATGCTCCCTTCTCACGCAAACACTAATGTGCTTCAGCTAACTTGAACCGCTTTGTCAAACACGCATGCGATCTGCTGGTGCGGTTGCGGACCCTCGGTGCCCGTTTTCGCTATTGTCGGGGTTACCCACACCCCTGTTCCGCTCCCTCCGCTCCTCTGCAGGTGTCTCGGCTGCAGCGACGGGATCGAGGACATGCTGCATGACGAGGGTGAGCTCAGCGACGACCAGCTGGACCAGGTGCTGATGGCCGAGATGACAGAGGTGTGAGACGGACAGACGCACTGCGCAGGCGCCGACAGCCGAACGGCTCAGCTCGGATCGGCCCGGTGCGCGGATCGCTCAGGGACGGACAAATGTGCAGGAAATTCAGCGAATTCAGGAACTCGGCTCAGGGATGGAGACGCACCGCCGCCGATGGCGCCTGCACGGCTGAAGGAACACTGATATGTGACCGGTGGCTGAGATTCGGTACCAGGTCTGTTAGGAAGCCGAGGCCAAAGAGTGATCTCAGGAGAACGTTTGTGGTTGAGATAAAAACACCGGCAGTGAATTCGAAGCAAGCTGAGTGCGGTCGTGTTGGATGTCTGGCTCAGACGTGCGGGCCACATCTAGTTTCATTCTGCTCTGTTTTTATTACGATTTATTCTGACTTTGATGACGCTCCTGTTCGTTTTAAGGAGAAACCAAACTTGACTGTAATCCAGTATATTTATTGTCCTAATTGGTGACAGAATGACGCATAAAAATGGCAAGTTATCAGCAAGCGACAATCGATGTGCATTGTGACTTTTGCGATGTACATTGTGCGATATTTGTGTAAAATATTTGTTGACTGTTCTTCGACTGTACTCAAGCTTTGCATTTAGGCCTAGGTATATACGGAAGACGGCATCCTGCTGCCGAAAAATTCATCTCAGGAAGCAATTACGGATGTATCATGCTTTTGCTTGTTCCAGCGAATGTAGAAAGCAGATGATGTAGGCTGCAATTTATGCCACTGGAACGGACTGAATTCACATACCTGAATTTTTAACTGCATGCATGGCGCATAGTAAGTGCAAGGATGATCGACCAATGTTGTAAATGCATTCAATCGTGACCTGTATCATGAGTTTATCTGCATATAAAGCCTACCACCGCACTAAGGGCCCACAGGTGGTGGTGGGTTTCTCGGGATCCGAGTACCAAACAGCTGGCGGGGTCAGGCTTGTAATGGCTAATGCTGCACAGACGGCACAGGTGCCCAGGATGCTGCTATTGTGATGGACGGCGGGGACACTTCCGCATGACCGCGACTTGCAGCTGGCTTCCAGGGGACGGTAACCATGGACTCGTGGGCGCTTACATGAAGGTATGTGGGAAAGGTCGCTTTGCTCTTCATGCTCTTATCTAATGAACTTTAACTAAGGAACTTAGTAATACGATAATAACCGGCCACGAAGGCAATCATTCAGCACCAAACGGGCAGACCTCACGTGGTTGCAAGAAGCTGCAGCCTCCAATGGCCACAATTTCTAAGCGTAATGCATAATAAACCCCCTTTTTCTCGTAAGTTGAAAAGCATTTTGCCACGGAGTTTTACAGCTTCAGCGCAAAATAAGACGTCCGTTTGAACTTACAACCATTGCGCCATAAACCATGGCACTGAAAGCTGTGTCCTTCTGTCCTCTCCCCTGACTGGCCCCCGTGCTCAGACACCGTCGCGTGACCCCTCCCGCGTCCCCGCAGGTGTCTCCGGTGCTCCGAGGACGATAACGAGGAGATACCGGACGCAGAGCTGGACGAGGCGCTCATGGCGTACGGCGACGACCCGGGGAACGTGCTCAAGTAGCCGCCACACCGCTGGCGCGCCGAAATGAAACCGGCGGACCTGGGTCGACCGGAGTACGGACAGCAGCCCAGTGTCGTTTTGATGGAGATCGGAAAGAGGGCTCGATGATCGATCTGGTGCGGAATGTAGACCCTGCCAGACGCGGGAATCAATCCGTAAAGGCAGCGGAACTCAAAGTCCTCGCAAAGTGACATGGCGCGGAGATCGCAGCGTGCAATGAAGGAGCACAGAGTTGATGAGGACATTCCCATCTCCTGAAAAGCCGAGTCTGATCGTGTTATATGCGCCGCGTCACCGTGCCAGGTCAAATGTGAATGTCGTGCCGCAAGATTGACAACCTGGCGCCTGTGAATAGGTGGCAGACGAAGGACAAACGACAGTCGTGCGGAGCAGCGAACGCTGTAAGATGTCGCCGAAGAATGGTGAGAAGTGGTGTTAAGGCTGGGAACTGTGATGCTCGCGCGAACCGGGAGCAGTACAAACTGACCGTGACACCGGCTAAACCGCAGCCGGAGTGTCATATTGTGTCATATTGGAGGTCACGGACAAACTGACTGTACAGAGGCCAAGCTGTGACACAAGTGGTTTATGTGTCATGTGAGGGGGATAGAATCGGACAACCTGAAACCGTGACACAGGTGCTTATGTGTCATGAGGGATGAGATCGGGCGACGACCGGTCCGAAGAACATGTGTTAGGGTCTGGGCTGGATGGGGTGGGCAGGGGGAGGGATGAAAGGCCGCCAGCTAACTCCGTTCCGGCCGAGAGAATTCGGCCATAACACAGTGCCAATGACGTGTAAACGTGGCTATTCAGTGCCCGCGTAATGCGTGCATGTGTTTTATCTGACGACGTGTATGAATATAACGTATACGTAAGTGACCGATGAGTTAATGGAAAAAGTTATCCAAAGACTCTGTTTGGATGCAATTGCCATGGTTTCATTATAAATTAGATGGTGATGACCTGGGCATCTGGGGCACCCATCTGTTTAGCCAACAATATCACGTTTGTTTGTTTTGTTCTTGTTGAGAGCAATGTCAGTCGCCCAATTTCTATAACTCTATCTCTATAACCTCAATAACGTCGCCAGACCTAGGCGATGCCACAACTTCGAACACAAACACCACCGTATGACTCACATGTGTATTGCGGTGTGATAACAGGTGACCCGACTGGGCAGTTTCAGGCCGGGTCGTACGATGGTCTGATGAGGCTGCTGTCAGCAGAACACTGAACAGCGTGACTACGGGTCTCTCCATGTCACCTCGACGGCGTCTGTTCGATACCTGGCGGCGAGAGGGGTGTGGGGAGGGGCGACGAGGTTAACTAGAGTCAGACAATTCACCAGTCGAGGAGGGGCTGTAAGCCCTGAATCAGGGTTTGGCTGTGTCGAGTCCAACGTCCTAAGCTATTACTCCGGCAGAGTAGAATTGAAGTTGCATAGTTACACTTAAACGTTTCAAAATGCTGGTCATTGTTTCCATGGACCTCTTCATACCGAATACCGTAGCAAATTCCTCAATCAAAGAAAACGACAGGAAACGTGAACGAATCAAAACAAATGAATAAGATCGTAGGGAATTCGCGAGGCTGCCATCAATCAGCTTACGGGCCACATAACGAGTGAATAATTCCTGTGTTATCTCACCCACATTTTCATCTCAAAGATCTCCACTTCCCGTCCGAAACGCCCGAGCTCTCACCTCTGAGTACAGAAGGTGTCCTCCAGAGGAGTGGTGACGCCGGACTTGAACATGACGTAGCCGGCCTGAGCGATCATGGCACCGTTGTCGATACAGAACCTGGTGAAAACGGGACAGGTGTCGGAACTCGTCGTGGGGGTATTCTGTTGGCGGTGGTTTAGTGACCAGAGGGCGCTAGTGGGCGACAGACTGTCTAAGGTAACGCGATACCATCAGTGTGTGAAGTAAAGTCTACATTCGTGACCAATCTAGTCATGGCTTATTTCAGAATCGGTAAGAAAGCCAACAATTTTCCAGCGAACGATCTCTTCTCTCGCTGTGTCCACTTTAACCACGCTCCAGCCGGTAACCATACACTCTTCAAGCTTGTTTCCCCCCGAGTGGGCATTGTTATCAGAGGGCACGAACCATTCGTCCGCGGCAAACCCTCACCGTTCGTCCTCTCGAGCCCTCACCGTTCGTCAGTGGCGAACACCTTGGCGCCGCGCTCCTCACACATAATCCGCATCATCTCCTGGAGACGCAGGTTGCAGCCGACGCCGCCACAGATCAGCACCTCCTGGCTGCCCGTGTGCGCCATGGCACGCTCTGCCAAACAGAAGTATCAAGTAGCGGTCAGAGATCAGCGCCTCCTGGCTACCCATGTGCGCCATGGCACGCTCTGTAGAACAGAAGTAGCGGTCAGAGATCAGCGCCTCCTGGCTGCCCGTGTGCGCCATGGCACGCTCTGCCGAACATGGGGAGTCAGATCAGATCGATGGGTAACAAACGAAGGGCACCGGGACCACTCACTCTAAAATTATTCTACATATTTCTATTTTTTAGTCAGCGATTTTGGACCAGATAGAAAGCCTTCAACGATTCGCCAACCATGCTTTCAGTAATTTACATGATAAATTACGGATCTTGAACGGACCAAGAGCCCAGATCCAATCATGGCGACAAACACGGCAGGTTAGACCCACCTGTGGTCTCCACCAGCATGGCGAAGGCGGTCTCCTGCAGCGAGAAGCAGATGTCCTCTGGGGTGTACTCGCCGGCCAGCCACTTGTCTAACCGCTCCTCGATAAACGACAACATCCCACTGAACGACACGTCCATGCCCTTAACAACGTACGGAAACCGCACTAGGCGCTGACCCCTGGGGAGCAAGATGTGGTGGTCAGAGTAAATAGAGCAGGGAACTAATTCAGAAGAAATATGTCTTTCAAGTTTCAAAGGACATAAATCTCAAAGACAAGGAAATATTGATTGACGAACGATTGAGCATGAAGGTAGAACGAAAAATAAAAACATCGTTGAGCCCGAAAAACAAGCATTGGGATACACTTTGTCGCAGAAAACCTACACTTAAGAAAATAAAATGCCAGATACCTGCTTTCACACGTAACAGTGCAAAACAGCGGCGTGCTTACAGACGCTCGCGCGGTAATTCGCTCGAAACTCCCATGGCTCTTCAAAAGTTCACGAGTAACGCACCGTTTGGCCATTTGTTCGATGTTGTAGCCGGGACTGGGATCGTTGGAGAGTTTCAACAGCCTGGCCAGCCGGTCGAAGCAGTTGCCGATGGCCATGTCGATTGTCTCACCGAAAATCTGGTACCTGCGCTCCGAGTAGGCGATCACCTGTACATACAGGGACACAGGAGGGGTCGGTCAGGAATCAGGATAGACCTTCACATTGACATATTTCAAGCAGAAACATTTGTTGCAATTTGTTTCGATATATTTCATGAAAAGGAAATGGTTCGCCTACCTACCTCAAAAGCATCACGGTTTGCCCAAATCAGCCGCCGAAGACGCAAAACCATGCTTTATTCTAAGCCTCATTTAATCTCCATCGCACTCATACCCACCCTCCGTTGCACACTGCCGAGACCCGCAAACGAGGATCCAGAGCCCGTCCCGGCGGCACCATCCGCACCTGGGTGTTACCGCCGCTGACGTACAGCACGGTCGGGTCGTCTGCGCCGGTGATGAGCCGTGCCATCTCGATGTGGCCGATACAGTGGTTGACGCCGATGATGGGTTTCTGCCAGAGCTGCGCCACTGTGCGCGCCACCACTGCCACTGACACCAGTGGCGCGCCCATGCCGGGACCTTTGGTGTAGCACACGGCGTCTATCTGGTCAGGGGTGATCTGTGGAGGGAGCGGGAGTGAGGGGGTGGCCTGATCAGAGGGACGTGATGCTGGCTAGAGGAAGAGCTGTATGGTGAAAAGTTAGCAGGTGTATGTTATCACCTGAACAGATTCAAACAAGCCATGCATAATGCCACAGACGAGACACTGATTTTAATTAGGCAGAAATATCTAACTGAGAGATACCTTGGCTATGTCCAAAGCCTCCTGCAGAACATCAAGTACATGGGCCTGGTGGTGCCTGGCAGTGGCACTTGGCTGAAACCCTGACACAGATCATCAGTCAATGTCAACAATCAAGTCACAAAGCCCATCAAGCAACCATCTAATAAAGATTACTTATCCACTGCACCTTTGTCTTATCAAGTATTCAAACATGTCATGTGTTCTACAAAATATTCAATACAAGCCAGAATGGTTAAGTAACACACAAGCAGTGATGACAAATGAGTCAAATATACACATTTCTAATGACCAGAAACATACCTACCTTCACCAGGAGGTGTGATGTAGGTGCGGCGTGGGTTGGACAGCACTTCACCATCTCTAATAATTCCAATTCCAATCTTGTTTGCTGAACCCTCAAAGCCAATGGTCACAACCATTGCTACTTAGTGATGGTCCTGAGAAAGTTACTTAAATACCTACTTCACATGAGCTGTGCAGCCTGGTAAAACATAGGTGCATCAAAAATCATACTCAACAGAGAACTTAGTCATCTTCAGAGGGGAGAGAGGAGCAAAGATAGAGAAAGAGCAAAGGGAAACATGGAGAGAAGAGGGTTAGAGAGGAGAGAGACAGAGAGGGACACAAGGGAAAGAAACCATGGGAGAGAGAGAAAGAGAGAGAGGAGGGAGAGAGAGAGAAAGGGAAAGGGAGAGGGAAAGGGAGAGGGAGAGAGAGGGAGGGAGAGGGAGGGGAGGAGAGGAGAGAGAGGAGGGAGAGGGAGAGGGAGGGAGAGGGAGAGGGAAGGGAGAGGGAGAGAGAGGGAGGGAGAGAGGAGAGGGAGAGGAGAGGGAGAGAGGGGAGAGAGAGGAGAGAGAGAGAGAGAGAGAGAGAGAGAGAGAGAGAGAGAGAGAGAGAGGAGAGAGAGAGAGAGAGAGAGAGAGAGGAGAGAGAGAGAAGAGAATCAGAATAGTGAAGCTGTCACAAGAGTGGTGAATGATAAAGAAGAGAATGAGATAGAGATGGGAATACAAGGGAAGAGGGCAATGAAAGATTGTTAGAGGATAGAGTGAAAAAGAGGAGAGAGAACAGTGTAAGAGAGTGGGAGATAGTGAGAGAGGCATTTATATTCATTTTCACTGAGTAAATAAAAATAGGTATTACATTTGATGTTTTAAATGCAAATATAGATGAAGGGCATTCAGGTTATGTTTCAGAATAACTAGGTCAGTAGGTGAGGTGCTGGTGTCTGTTGATTTTTTCATTTTCCTCAACTTTCAGAAACTATTAAAATACATATATGATATAGAGAACAACACAAACACTTCTAGGCTAGATTGATGCCAAGGGTTGCACCAAGGCTCTATAGAATTGCACCACCATGAGGGCTGTTCAATGGCGCTGCAAATTAATGGGTGTGGTGTGTGCAGTATGTGCAGCAGACATGGGTATAGGGGATGGTAGTTGGTAAGATATCCCAGGCTGTGTAGATTAACAATCCCTATGGGCTAGATCCATGGCAGTCTGTGTGCTGTATCCGTCCACCGGCTGAAGGATGGCGTATGGAGGCAGCAGACAGAGCTTACCATTATTAGGGTAATAGCTTATATCTTGTGTGCGGCCACACCACACATCAATGGCCCGTGAACAGCCCTCCAGACAATTCAAGTTTCAAGTTATGATGACACCAGATACCCTATGAGCCATGAGGGCTGTGAGGAGTAAGGACTATATGGGCTAATGAGGACAAATAGAAAATGAACCTTAGGTTGATTAACAACAGGCAGGTTGAAGCCAAGATTCTTACAGGTTGAAGCAACGGGGTTGAAGGCGCCAATAAACATCATTCATGATTCATTTTTTTTGTGCGTCAGCAAAACGTAGCAGACGCGTTTATTTCGCAAAACCATTTGCTACCAAATGAAGTTTTCCCCCGGTTTTTGAAAACTTTACTCAATGACATTCGCCAACCACTGCCGAAAAAGGAAAAAATCATTCAAAACCTACAAATAATCATAAAAAAAATACAAAACGAGTTTTCAACCACTTGTTTGCACTTTGACTGCTATCAGAACAGCAGAGAACAGCAGCAGAGAACAGAGAATTCCCTTCCTAGATCCACTTTTACTTCAAAGGCCACCACCAAGTCAAGGTTGGCTCTATTTATTCACGGAAAATTCTATCACAAATATTACGTCATAGCAAAATTACCATTTTTAATGTTTCTCAACGAATGAATTATCTTGTTTGCATGACTCTGGCGCAGATTTGTAAGACGTTTTTAATTTGGATAAAAAAGTAACAAAACATGACAGTAATTTCAGTAATTTGCCTAAAAAATTATGTGATGATGTCAGTTTACCAGAAACTCTTCCCTGTGGTGTTGGAAGCACCCACACAGAAGATGCATTAGCGCTTTCGTAATATTCCTTTCTCTGATATATACCGTGATTTGTGAGGTTTATCTAATTTTTCATTTTCCATATGATCTCTGATAGCTATATTCCTGCAAATTGAAAATAGTCAAATTTTGCTTAATTCAATGAATCACGTTGATTGCCTTTGGTGAGCCAAAACAGCCGGCGTGTTCATGGTCAGACATTGGCCATTCCAAATCTGAACCCACAATTTTACAGTTGGAGAAGATTCTATTGATCTGCGATCATGTGGAAAGTTCGTGAAATTGCAGATAAAGTGTAAGTATGATTTTTATATGAAATGCATGCATTGTCGTGTCACTTGGTGCATGATCTCGCACCATTTAGAGCTGCAACGCCTGGAAGGCCGGCCAGTCGTCAATTTCAGTTGCATATCAATATCCATATGCAATGTGCTGTCATGTTCAGGACTAGGTCTTGAACAGAGACCTTGGCTCTACTGGCCCTGTTTCATGTCATGCTGCTCCAGATGCTGCCAGACATTGGCACTCCAGTTGGGGAAACTACGAGGAGCCAAACAAAAATTGGATTAGCCAATCAGCGGCTGGAGTGGGCGGGGCGATGACCATATATGGTCATAAAATCAGACAACTTCATCTTTTCAATGAATTTTAGCATTCAAATGAAAAAATAAGGCATAAGAATGTTTTTTAACCACACAAGGCCTACACTCACCCGGTGCATAATTAACTGGCGGCTCTAAATCGCAGAGTTACAACGCAAGGTCAAACCGTGATTGGCAAATATGGCGGATTGAAACAGACGCGCCAAAAAATGTAAGCAGTACCGTGGTTTAAAAATGTCATTATTTTATTATTTTGTTTATGGTTTTTCTAATTATAGTTAAGTTATTATTTTAGAACTAAATATTTTTGTTCATTGTAATTAAATTAAATCTTAAAACAATTTTCTTTCATAAAACCAATCCATTTATTGAATGGCCAGCTGATTGCGACGCCCAGAACCTGCAGAAAAGCCGTTTTCCTATCGCCATTTTCGAGTCAATTCGCCGAATTTCATCAAATCACACCAATTCCTAGTGAAAAATGGAAGCCTTTTCTCTCCAATAAGTGGACGCAATACCGCAAGTACCGGCTTGTTATACCGTTTTTCACCCTTAGTAGCGGGGGCTGCATTTATGCCCATATATGGTCATCAAAAGTCCATTTATTGACCAATCCATTTTTTGACGTTCGCCTCGTAGTTTCCCCAACTGACTCAGCTTCCATGGAAACATACCTACCTAAGCAGAATTAGCCATCTTTGCTTTTTCATTTCCTTAGAAACTGAGAAGGTACATGGTAGTGTCATGCACTGAAACAGGGCTGTGGGTTGCCAGTGAGATATGCTTGCCTAAATATTGTTAAGATTTATGTGTAACTGATGTGAACTGGTATGAATTTAGGATATAACATTTAATTGGATATAGATAAGTAGGTACTGACCTGTCACCAGTTGTTTGCTTTTATAACTTTTGGTTGTTGGTTGTGCTGTTACATTGTTTTATAATTCAGAAGTGTTGTGAAGCATATTATTTGCTGGTTAAGGCTGGAATGTGTTAAGCATTGTTTAAAAGGATCAGTAAGGTGAAAAATATTGCAAAGCCTGGTGACAAATGTAACATAAGCTGGTTTTCCTAATCCCCATCCTCATGTCAGCAAAAGGAGCTTCCAGATTTACCATGGAAGCTGCTTACTAGTCACTTTTCTTATATTTGTTCTAGATTGAAACTTAACTTCTCAGTTTTACTAGTAGTGGTATAGTACTTTTTACAACTGGACTGCTTGATTTGATCTGGTTCATATTTTATATTTATCATTTGATGCTTCTGGCACCTCTCACACTTTGCTGAACAGTTTGAATATGTTGAAGTCTTATTTTATACATCAGTGTCCCCCAATAACAAGGTATATTTGCAGATACCTTGTTTGTTCTGTCGTTAGTTTCTGTGCATAGATGGTGCATTCTTAGGAATTAATATTCAATAGTTAATGTAATAAGATGTCGAAGTACTAAAATGAGCAGCACTAAAATGAGCAGCATTATTGAATATCGTAGAAGAATAACCTTATGCTCACTATCTTTAAACAAACCAAAAAAAATGTACATTTTTTGGTACATTTGGTACATATTGGTACATTTGGTATTGGTATTTTTTGGTGGTACATTTCTTTGGCTTGTATAGTTAACTTTTTGAACTGAAGAAGGAACGTTTCCGAAATATATTCATTGATTTGGCTAATTTTTTGGTTTGTTTAAAGATAGTGAGCACTAGGGTGACCCGCGTGCTCCGCAACGCGAAAAGGGATATTTTCGATCGGCGGGTGTTCGGTTGTTCTTGTGTCGGTTGGGTTATCTATCCATTTCGGTCGATTGCTTTTTGACGGCTAAACGTTTGGTTTGTGGAAAAAATATCCACCGCATCGAGGTGCCCGTGTCTGATAAGCATGCTTTCCACTTCAGAATCTGTCAAATGTGCTTTATAATTGAGGTGCGTAGTTTTAAGACAAATGAAAGGCGTAGATAATTTTCGCTAAAAATCGTTTTGCAGAGGTTTAAAACATTTATATTTTTAAGAATACTGTTGCTTGTCATGCAAACGTGATGATTGGATCTTGGAGAGAATTGAATGCTCTTTCTAATGATAGCATTTTCAATTGTCAAGCGTATCAGGTTAAGCAGCAAATCCCGTGTATCTTTTTAGTGGCACATTGTGGACAAATACCATTTTAATTCAGCGATTTTTTCCACATTGTTTTTGATCAATTAGCTGTCCACAATTTTTCCATGAGAGGCGGTACATTTCTCTTGGCAATTGACGTTGTTTCAACTCTCTCAGTCTGATGGTCACGGGAAAATAAAATAAAATCCAAAATACGTCTAAAATGGCACTTTTTGAAATGAAATTGCCCTCACACTTGCACGTGGCGCGTGCCACCCCTGCACCGCACACTATTCGATTGCCCGTTCGATTCTCTACACGATGCTGTTTTCCCCCGTGCCGATCGGGCGCACGGCTACCGAGATATTGCACGGGGAACGGACCCGTGTCGGGCAAATTTAGCCATTTTCGCCCGTTTTTGCCAGCCGATTTATACATGTAAAGTCTATGACGCGAATTTGCACTTTTTGGGCACGCGCCACGCGCTCGCTATCGATCCGATCGAGCCGAGACCGCTCAAAGGCACGTTGTCCATCCTTGTTCTATAACTTGCGCAAATTTCAGCGCGGTAGGTGCAACGGTGTGACCTGTAACCCGCGCTACGTAGCACCATGTCGCGACCTTCGTAATAGACAGAAACTACGCCTTCCTCAAATAGTATAGTAGACAAGCGGCTGCGCCACTTGCTTCGCGGCGTAGCCATAAAATACGCAGCAGCCAGTTTGCTTTCGAATGGTGTTTGATTCATACCGATGAGCCGTCTGGAAGCAGATATATAAAGGAATATTCTGATGGCTTAGTTTGATAAAATTTGGGTCATACGGGGTCAAGTCAGGTCAAGTCGGTCATCCCTGGTCACACTGGGTCAGTCCAGGTCACCTTCGGTCAGGCCAGGTCGTATAGGTCACCACGTCACATTGGATCGGCCTGTGCCACACTTCTACTCATTCTACCCATACCACTACTCCTACCACTACCCCTACCACTACCACTACCACTACCACTACCCCTACCACTACCCCCAACACTACCCCTACCACTACCCCTACCCCTACCACTACCCCTACTACTACCACTACCACTACCCCTACTACTACCCCTACCACTACACCTACCGCTACCCCTACCACTACTCCTACCACTACCCCTACCACTACCCCTACCACTACCCTACCACTACCCCTACCACTACCCCTATCCCTACCCCTACCACTACTACTACCACTACCCCTACTACTACCCCTACCACTACTACTTCCCCTACTACTACCCCTACCACTACTAATGCCCCTACCACTACCCCTACCACTACCCCTACCACTACCCCTACCAATACTACTACCACTACCACTACCACTACCACTACCACTACACCTACCACTACCACTGGGTCATGACAAATGTGGCGCACTGCGATAAAAGTGGTGCATTTATTCCTGTCGTTTTGCCATGCATCCTTCCACCGAATTGCACGTTTATCGGACCATGTTTGACAAAGTTGTGCGATTTGCGGCAAAAATAGCGCATGTGGACAAATGTGGCGCACTGCGGCAAACGCGGTGCATTCGGTTAAGCGCATTGAAAACTGTCTTTATTTACCGAAAATCAACACCTTCATTGGCCCATTGGCCTCTGTTTATCAAAATAAATAACTTGGCCAATCTGCAAATGAGAGGCACCCGCCGCCGATCGTCATGCATTTCATTGTCAAAGGCGATTGAACCCGGCTGCCGATGCCTTGAAGCAAGCTTGAGAGCCGAGCAAAATTTGGAGAAAAAGCGCCTTTTTCCAGCGCGTGCCACGTGCGAACCATCCACCCCCCGGGACTCGAAACACGCCACTGCACGTGCGCGTGACGTCATCAACACCGTGTGCAAATTTCAGCCCCATCCAACGCACCGTTTGACCTGCGCACGGCGTCAAAGCACCCCTCTGCACGGTGCAAACAGACAGAAACACATACATACAGAGTTTCATTCTACAAATAGTATAGTAGATAAGGTTATTCTTCTACGATATTCAATAGTTAATGATTAGTAAATGATTGGTAGTTATTACATATGACACTAAATTATTGGTAGTTATTAACACCACTTGCATTAAGTTACATTAGTTAAATTACAAATGCCAATAGACACTAGACAGCTTGGTTTGGTTAATGCTTGCTGTTCATTCATGTTGAAAGAGGATAATCTATCTAAGCTTTGAGCTTCAGAGACATTTCTTCCTTCTCTCACTCATGAACTCTGGTTCCTTGTTAATGCTTCTTGCCCTTGCTTGAAAATTGCACTTAAAGGAACTAATTAGCTGTTGTAAACTTATAGTGAGAATTTGCTTATAATTAAGTATACTTCTAGCTCCTGGATACTTGAACCTACTGTTGATGTTAACTGATGATTACAGCATTTTGTAAGATAACTGTTGATCACCTTCAAGCAGTAAAATCCATTAACCTAGTCATAACCTTATCAATTGATAAATCCATTCAGCCGCTCATTTTCTGCTTTCAACTGTTAGCATCAACATTGGGTACATAATGGGGGGGGGGGGAGGGGTGCTGCCAAAGAGTTTGGTGTGTGTGTAAAAGTTGCACTGGATCACTTTTTTATGGACTGCAGGTCGTCTATTGTTGTTTATGAGCTGACCATTGAGTATGTAGCTTAGTATTTTAGTTACACTGCTTAAAATATAGGCGAAAATTGTTCCTAATATACCTACTTTTTTCAGCCAACCATTCAGCATTGGAAATTTCTTGACAGTTTATAGCATACATTGATGCAACGTCGAGTTTAGTTCTCCAGGCTGTTCTGGCCACATGTCCTCCCCCAGAAGTTAAGCAGATGCTTCTGATGTCATTTCTGAGGTTTGTCTAACAGATGAGCCAATCCCACGTAAAAATGCTTATCCACTCGAGACAGTGCCAGTTGTATCCATCCAGTCAAAGGCGGATGCAGACTTCTCCAGGATAGTACATAAGTGACTATCGACATTGACGGATACATTCAGTGGCATCACTAGCAGCTGGCTCAGACTGTGATTGGGCACGGTGCCCCCCCCCCCTCCCCCATCAGTTTTGGGCGGAAAACCCACGCCTAAGGCCGCGTTCGATGTCTCCTCGGACGAAGAACATTCTACGCAGAATATTCTATTTTGCGTTCGATGAAGCACACAGGCGGACGACGAGATCGGCCATTTTGTGCGCCACTTATACAATGTGCGTCGGTTTCGAAAAAGGCCCAAGTTTACGTTTCCATAGAGACCGCGCACAAATGTCAACAACTTCTGCAAACAGCTGCTGCGCTGCTTTTGAAATACGCGCCATCATTGCCTCTCTGCCCACCGTAGTACGCTCAAAAGATTCTGCGCGGACGACGAAGATTCTACGTGACGTCACGTAGAATCTTTGCCGTCCGTGCGACATCGAACGCCATTTCGGGCCCGGACGGCATAGAATCTTTGCCGTCCGGGAGACATCGAACGCGGGGTAAGTCCTCCGGGCTTCCGAAGGCCAGGTTCTCAACACTCTTTGGCTCATCAAGCATCCCAGCAGTTTGTATACTTGAAATGTCGAAACGGATTCTCATCGCTAAAGAGGGTCCTTTTCAGTTTTCACTCTGTCACAACACAGTTGTTTCGTTAAAAAAAAGAGAGCATTTGAGCTCGCTACCTTTCCTTACTGAGTGTTATCATTGGGGGGATCGCCTATCTGCTCATTTCAACCTTGCTAGGTCTTTATTCCAACTTCCAAGGGTCCCGCTCTTGTAGTACCAATGGACATTCTCCTCGGACGCCGGATTATTATAATTTATTGATTCATTTATTGCGAATATTTGCGTAATTCATTGCTACCACCGCGTAAGAATGTCGTTACGCTAACATTGGCACTGGGTTTTGTGCTGCCTGAAGGTATGTATCCTGCATCGCCGCCGTCTCGCCCATTGGGTCCGCCGCTCGGGGCTGCGGCCGCTCGCTGATTGCGGAATTTCCAGTCACGTCTGGCAGGAGCCCGTCCACGCTGGGAATTACCCAGTCCCAGCTGCATTGCCGGTAGTTGCTATCGACCCAGTACCCATGTCGTATCAAGTCCTCAGCAGTACTGTCTTGTGCCAGGGAGGAGTCAGTGATAGAGATGGATTCGCCGAACCAAATTTCCAAGTGATTCCCTCCATATTGACTAACAGATTTCGGTGTTGGATGGTAATCCGATCTCTAGTTCACTTCTCAGGCGCCGTGAATCTGATTCCCCTCCGTCGTCAGCGTGCATTCGTTGGATGCGATTAGCTGGTGCATAGCTTCATCGGTTATGCATCAGCTGATCAAAGTCAAATACCTGGTTTGATAAAAGTTCGCTACCGTTGATATTCGCTACGTTGAGCGTGTACTTTTTTGCGGCATGTGGCTTTTCGTCGCGTTCTCTCGCTGTTTCGCACCTTTTTTTTGCACTCGTCACCAACTCAGCCCTCTCAAAGTGACGGCGCCATACCATTCAGATCGGCCGACAGACGGGACCGACACTGGCGAGCCCGCTCTCCACCGTGTAGGTCACCGGGTCAGGGACGAGCGTCCGGCGGGCCACCGGCCGACGGTGCGGTCACGTGAGCGCCGTGAAAGGTGTTGCATGCAGTCACGTGTTGTTATCTGAGTTATGCTGAATACGTGGCACGACGTCCTGTTGAACATTATTACACTGAGGGCCTCAACGTAACTTTTTCGCTCCGCCTCTTCTGCATGATGTGGAGGGCCTTGGTAGCGATGCTGGGCGTTAGGTTGTCACCATGCGAATACCCAATGATGTCGAGGTCGTCGCGACCGCCTGTTGGTCAGGTGTGGAAGACTGTTGTCTGGATAGCCCTGGTTTTCTCTTGCTGAGCGACTGTTGCGGCACGTCGTGGATATGTTTGCCAGCTCACCCGATAGGACTCCTGTCTGCAGAGCAGACGTACTGCTTCATTCGGCGGTGGATCGATTCGTGACGCGCTGGGGGCGCCCAGACGCCACCAACAAGACGAAGGATTCGGCATAAGGCTTCTCTAGGTCGCTACCGGTTTTCCAGCGTTATAAACTGATGTGATTATGAAGTAAAATTAAAAGCCATGTCGGGACTTTGACACTGCTGGTATTTACTCCATGAGGTGCCATTTCAGTCAGCCAGCCGGCGGGACTACGACCAGTGCGCTTCGTTTATATCCACGTTGGTCGTAAACACACTTCGGGTCCTTGTTTATCATTCCTTCAGTATTACGCGGTGTTGAGTATGCACTATGCAATTTTTTGCCGCGTGGCGCAGCACATTGTACGGACGGATGCACTTGATAGTTGATATACTCCCGATAATAGTTTGGTGCTGTGCATCATCCCAAGCAGGCTAGGTTTCAGTCGCCCGCCAACGTGTTTTACGCTTATTTGAATATCAAAGCCAGCTCTTATCAGACCCATCTTAAGCATCGTTACGGAAGTTCTCTAGAAAGACCTGCCACAGCACATTGAGATAATGACATTGTTGACCTTTTCCCCGTCTCCCAAATGCCTGCGGGTGAGCCGCCCGGGAATGTTTGTATTGTTACACCGCTCCGTCTCGGCTGATCCGGGCGGGCATTAGCCGTGCCGCCGAGGGACCGCAATATACCCGAGTGCTGCCGCCGGCACTCCGCCGGGGCGGTGCCCGTCTCACTCCGTCCCGTCTGCTGACACTGACATCCGTCCCCGCCCGTTTTCAGCACCAACACACCGACAACATATTAACGTCCGTCCCCGTCCGTTTTCAGCACCAACATGGTGATGAACTACACGGAGGTGGAGTCCAAAGTGCGCGAGGCGACCAACGACGAGGCCTGGGGACCCACCGGTGAGGCTCGACCGATGGTCGAGGGGAGGGGAGGGGCTCGGTGACTGTTGGAATGTTTAGCGGCTGCACGCAATCGCGGTGCTGTGGGTCAAATGAACTGAATTGGAACTGGCTGTGTGATGGGACTGATCAATGATTAACAGACTTAGTAATTCACGTTCCATTTAATGGTTACTATTCAGTTGCTATTTTGAGAATTTTCATCGTTATTTTTGGCAGTGGTTCTTTATAAACCCTGTATTTTTCCGATATATCCATCATCGGGGCGGGTGTATGAACAGTTCAGTGTCCGTGCTGTATAGGACATTATACCTGTGTGCGTTTGCGTGATCCCGTCCACGGAACGGATGCACTGCTCAGTTCCTGTGGTGCTCTGTTATGAGTTATGACAGAGCGATCAGTGAGCTCGGCGGATTGGGCGCACGGAGCGGATTATTGTCTGCCTGTGGCCGATGCTGATTACGGTAGCTGAAGCACTCCTACCCGTGCTGTTAGGCGGCTATTATAATGTCCAGATCGTTTTTGGTAACGTATGGGCCGGACAGGTGGGCTTAATCTCCTCCGACCAATTACCAAATATGTAATTGGAGTGCGTCGCGTGGAGCCACCGGGTGTCTTTCTATTGATAACCAGCTGTAGTTATTTGGCCATAATTTATACCACCCGTGTTTTTTTACGACTGTCTCTGACTGTCCGACTCTCTGTCTCGGCTCATCCAGGCCCGCAGATGCAAGAGGTCGCACAGTACACCTTCACCTACGAACAGTTCCCAGAGGCTATGGGCATGCTCTGGAAACGCATGCTGCAGGACAACCGCTCTAACTGGCGCCGCACATACAAGGTCAGGGTCGGAGGAACGGCGGGGACGGGGTGGGAATAAAGGGAGGGGAAAGGTAGGGCTGCGGCCGCGGCAGGACCCCGCCTGGGCCTGAGGGGACGGGTGATAGGTCATGATGTGTTAGATGATCGATATGTTGTCTAGTCTGGAATAAAGGTATGAGTATTTTGCAGTCACGTGGAAATATCCGGTTTGTAAGTTAGATTACTCAAAGATGGTGTCACTTCTGTCTACGTTAGACTATGACGCCCATATCTGTCACTTTATGATATTGACCTAACCACCCGTTTCTACGTCATTTCCTGTATCATCTGATAGCTATCGGACCCACATACCAGTCTCCCGCACTAGTTTGTGCGACAATATATCACAACTGAAATCAATCCGGCCGGATTGGGAGTGTTATCGGCGGCGCATTGTGGTCGGCCAGGAAACCGGCGCCCGGCCGTGAGTCACGCGCCGGCCGGGCCCGTGCGGCCACTTTCGCCGACTCACTGCGGCCCATGGCAGTCAGGTGCCGCTCGCCGGTGACGACACGGCCCGCGTTATGTGCGGCTACTGACGGCCGGCCCTCTGTAAACACGTTTGTGTTATGTTTGTTATTATGTCGTGTCCGCTTTGTTTGCAAAACGCTAGGGTTGTCAAAGAATGGGCTGAACACTAATTGTTTGAGTTATTTTTTTCACATCATTGCGGGGTTGCTGCTCATGGATGCCGCTGTTCTAGAAAGTGTTCAGATAAATAATTGTTTTCATAGATCTACATACATGACACACTGTACAGTACACAGTACACGCATACATGCATTGCGTACTCGTTCACTGCCATGATCACACTTATCACGGACTTTTGTCTGACGCCCTACTCACCTCTCACAGTCGCTGCTGCTGCTACACTACCTGATTCGGAACGGCTCAGAGCGTGTGGTCACCTCTGCGCGCGAACACATCTACGACCTGCGTAGTCTGGAAAACTACACGTTTGTGGACGAGTTCGGCAAGGACCAGGGAATCAACATCAGGTGAGCTTGGGTAGCGACTAGCGATGGTGCCGCGGTTAGCCTTAGGGGGCGCTGGAAGGTCGCCACGGACTGCTACGTGAGCTTTATTGGGTGTACCAAGCAGTGTCCCAAAATTGCATTTTGGCTTGGGTGTCAGAGGGGAAATTGCTTTCCAAAAATGGGGATAAGAGTGGAAAATTGCTGGCCAAGGTGAGGCCCAGAAAGATGGGAAAAGATCGATAGCATTAATTTTTATCCATGCGTGATAAAATATGAGATGTACAACGATTATCCACGCTAATGCTTTTTCTTCGTAATATTGGGAGTGGAAAATTGCTCTTCAAAATTGGAGGTGAGAGTGTGAAATGATATTCATTTGGATGTCGTTTCCCACCCAAAACAACAAATTTTGGAACACTGCTACCAAGGGTAACGCATAGCGCACGATATAGTAAATATTGCTGTAGGAGATGAACATAATGTAGCCAACGATGTGTGATTGAGATGATAATATGTCGTGCTGTATTTAGTTTTCCTTTTCAATGTTCCTGATTCATTCACACTATTGACGGGTTCTTATCTTTCTGTATTCTGTATTCTGTATTCATCGTAAGGTCATCCAGTATCATGCCGGTTTTTCATGCCTAGAGTCATATAAAAGGTGATAAGCGAAATATTACATAGAGGGATGATAAGTAACACGCGCATTACAAAGACAGACATACGCATGCGTTGCGCCACATGTGTCAGCACTGGACATTGTTACGGCATTGCGTCGGCCAGATAGGCGCGGAGACGCCTTTTGAATGCACCGATGCGTCTGACTGAGATTCTAGAGGGAAGACGATTGAAAACATCGGCAGTTCTGTAGAAGAAACGGCGTCTGCCGTATTCCGTCTTGATTACTGGTAGATCCAGATGGTCGTCCTGCCGTGTTTGGGTTTGCCGGATGTTGTGCCTCCGTACCAACTTCTGCGCCAGTGAATGCGGCTCCGAGTTGGCCAGTAAACGTCTCATCAGGCATAGCGCGTGGTAGGTGTGCAGCTGTGACGCTGAGAGCCATTTAAGGTCTCGTATGACGTCGCTGATGTGATCCCTTCTCCTCCGGCCAGATATCACGCGCGCGCCGAAGTTGATGACTCGCTGAAGTCGTGTCAGGTTACGTTTGGTACAGCTACCGTAAATCAACAGACAGTATCGAATGATGGAGATGACAAGGCTGCTGACCAGGGTCGGCAGGACACTTCGCGGTACAGAGTGACGTACGTGACAGAGGCCTATCAACTGTCCAGTACATTTCCGGCAGACGCTGCTCACATGGGCATCATAATTCAGATGGCGGTCCATCACGAGTCCTAAGTTCCTCACTGTGTCCGATTCATGGATGGTGAAGTCCTTTAACCGAAGGGTTACTTTTTCCATGTTTTTCAAAATTTTGGTGCTGCCGAGAACGAGAAGTTGAGTTTTGGCCATGTTGAGTTTCATGTAATTTTGACTAAACCATTGGTGGAGTGTCTGCAGTGCAGATTCCATCTCTTGGATAAGTCTGGGTAGGTCCGATTTCTTGCCAGAAATCAACAGCTGAGTGTCATCAGCGTATTGAATAATTTTGACACCATCTACGTAAAGGCTGAGATCGTTCGAGACCACGTTGAACATCAGTGGTCCCAAAGATGTCCCCTGATAGACCCCAATGGGGTTGGGGAGTGGACCTGAGACGTTTTGAGGACCGAGACGCACGTGCTGCTGGTGATTTGCGAGATAGTCTCGAAACCACGCCGTTTCAACTCCGTACAGTGCAAGCTTTTGAAGTAATTTTTCATGATTGACCACATCAAAGCATTTGCTTAGATCTAGGAGCACCAAAAGAGATATTTTTCCTTGGTCCATGGCCTCCATCACAGCGTCCGTCACGGCCAGAAGAGCCGTTTCGGTGGAATGAAATCGACGGAACCCGTGCTGTGTGTCGGCGAAAAGAAAGTTTGAATCCAGGTAGCCAGAAAGTTGTTTGTGAACAATTCGTTCGGTGATTTTTGCAAGGCAAGGGATAAGTGAGATAGGCCTGAATGAAGACGGGTCGCGGGTCGAGCCGGATCCCTTATATATCGGTTGGATAGTCGCCAGCTTCCAAGAATCGGGCACAGTAGCAGTCACAGGACATGTGTTGACAATACACAGGATGACATGAGCGATTGCGTCAAAACATTTCTTGATGAAATGCATCGGTATCCCGTCCGGTCCACAGGCGCGGCTGCCGTTCATACCTAGCACGGTCTGTCGCAGCTCGTCCGGTGTTACCGGCTCCACCTTGAACGCGCCCGTCCCCACCCTAGGCAAACGCACAGGCAGAGCGCCCCCACCGTCGGCCGGCAGTCCGGCAGCCACAGAGGCTGCTGTGGTCACACCCACGTCAGCAAAGTACCTGTTCAGTGTGCCTGAGTCAATGTCGGGCTGCTGCTGACCGCGCGCCGATTTACCCTGAATATCTTTTTTGTCGCCAATGGTTAGCTATACGATTTTGCGCTCGTTGGCATGTTTATGCACTGACACAAGTGTTCAGAACAGTCTACCATGCCCGCAACACATCTGAATGCGTCAGCTGCTATGTTTTCGCTCACCCCGTGCCCTTTCCGCAGGCACAAGGTGCGAGACCTTATCGACTTTGTCCAGGACGACGACCGGCTGCGCGAGGAGCGCAAAAAATCCAAAAAGAACAAGGACAAGTACATTGGTCTGAGCAGTGAGTCGACCGGATTCCGTTCTGAATGTACGTATCACTGTCTGCCTGCCGCTACCTGTGTGAGTGTGTGAGCGTGGTGTGGGCCCGCGTGCGTTCTGCGGTGATTGGCATCTCTAACCCCACGCCAAGACTGCCGTCTGCCGAGTTACCGTGAAGGTGGCACGAGCCAGGTGGAGGGCCGCTCCAGGGGATCGAAGATAGTCGGTGAAAGAGGGCACTGAACCCTAACAGGTATCTGGGATGTATTTTTGGCAGTGTCTGGCAGTTTTCTAGCTCCTCTTCCGTTTTGGTTTGTGGCTTGTGTTTTTGCGCATGTTAGAAACTGGCCGGAATGATAAAAGTGGTATTGTATCTTTAGAGCTGATTGACCCAATTTTATGAATTACTATGCAAGGACTGCAGAATGGTATGCTTTCGGTTGACTTGCGGCGAATCATTTTTGAGTTTATAAGATATAAATTATAATACTGCTCTCAGCTGTCTTGAACCATTATAATTGTTTAACATATTTATGGCAATATTTATTTCGACATTCGTACACTATAGCGCGTGTGAGACGTTTTTATTAAGGATTTTCTCCCACTTATCAAAATTGCTGTTAAAAGTACGTCTTGAAACGTACAAAGACGCCTTTTAAATTATAATTTAGTGCATCTTTATCGGTCTAGACTTGTGAAAAACCAAAATCATGTAGCTTGGCATGCGGGATTAAACAGATTGTCACATCCTTACTTATGTGTTCCTGGACTGCGGAACCCGCTCGGGCGGGGCCGCTGGGGCGCACACAAGCGTCCATCGCGTCCAGGCACACACAAGTGGGGATGTGACACAGATCATCCGTCTCTTATTGTGCATGGTACTGTTCTGTCGTTCGTGCATACTTCGTCGGATACTTCTTTGCTATTGTGCCGTGCCGTTTGGTGCGCACTCGCAGGGCATGCTTGGGTGGGACATAGCGGATATCTCATTTTATATCGGTACCTTCTATTCTGTCTGGCATTGTCTAAACACGAGCGTTAGTTTCTGTCTATGAGTGGCATGCTTTGTTCTCGTCAACGTTGCGGCTTGTGATGAACGCCAATCACTTGTCACGATTGACGCAGGACGTCATAATCCTAATTCCAAAGCATAAGATAATTTCTAGCGCGTGGCCTTTTCAGACGATGCAATCGTCGCAGAATCTTTGTCATCTTGCCGTCTTATTTCTGGCGCTACAGCGCTTGATGTGACCTCATGTGCGCCCTTTATCTCATCTGACTCTCCCTATGACTGTCCACCCCTCCCGTTTGCGCGGCAGACTTTGGCAAAGGCTCCTCCTATGACTGGGACCAGCCCAACTGGCGCAAGGGCCGCTCAGAGTGGGACAGCAACGGCGACAGCAAGCCCTACTCGGACCAGAGGGAGGCCGACAGCAACAGGTCAGGAGACGACCGTAGACGTGACCGCGCGTCTACGGTCGGATTATGGCGGAGTAGTTGTGCCAAGTCAGGCGCGGATGACGTTGTATTTATGCTCCGTGGTCTTGAACCATCTCCAAAACTGGAGGCCCTGTACCGTGATATGGGTGGTAATATGATCATAATGTAGTCCTTAGGGGAATTTATGGATGTTTTGTTGTTGAGTAAATAGTGTAGGTCGTCATTGCGTTTCTGCGTCTGGCGTTCAAAACGCTCGACACTCCGTTACAAAGGCTTGTGTTCAATCTCATAACATTGTTGTTTTCAATTAAGTTCACTGTGCATACGATGATACGCATAAGGACCGCTGCCGACTGTGAGTTTGGATTCCTGAAAAGTATCTAGGGCCTTCACTTATGCCTCCGACTCCCCACCCTCAGTCTGGGAGAGCCGGATGACTCGGACTCGGAGGTGCGCGCTCGCCAGTTCACCGACTCGTCGCCGGCGGCTTCCAAATCGCGGCGCGACAAACCGCTCTCCACGGGCCGGCCGGCCGCCGCCGCCTCAGCCGCAGTCAAGGTAGGGACGGCACTGCAGACTACGGCGTAGCAACAGTATAAGTAGGGACTGCACACTGCAGTGCATACCGTCGCCTTAGCATTTTCAAGACCGCTGAAGCTAGTTCCTAATGAGGCGACTGTTGCCTTTTGCCGTATTTAGTTAAAAAAATATTACTTTTTATATTGTTATCCGAAACTCGTTCCAAATATTCCTGGTCCCCTCTGCAATCCGTCACATCCCTGTCCCGTCGGTTGTCGGTAGAGCAGTGTCCATGCCGGCCCCGCCCTGGCAGCGAAGTGATATCGTATCGTAGTTATGTACACACAATGGTGGCGTGGCTTTTATCGATGTGAGAATACCCCGTGTGTAGATACAGCGGATACTCTTAGATAATGTCGGACATTGTTTGATCAGGACATTATCATCAGCAGTGCTTTTAAATGCGTTTTTTTAAACAAACCACTATAGGCACGCTCTCTCCTCCCCCCAGGCCGACTCTACCAAGAAACCCGAGCTGGTGGATGACCTATTCGGAGGCGACGACGACTTCAATCCCCGCGCCGGTGACCCGCCGGCCGCCGCCACCGGCTCAGACTTCTCGCAGTTCGCCGCCGCTCCGCCACCTGCCGCCGGGTGAGGGCGGTGGGAGGGATTATTGGGGACTGGGGACCGTCCATTGGTTGGACGGAGGAGGGGAAGGGGAACTGCGGTCAGTGTCATCTGATGGCGGTGGTCGAGGTGTTGAGAAAGCGAGCGGATATTATGGCGTGGTTGATATGTTCGTTTGTTCGATGCTCATGTCTCCGTTCCGTGAGTATGTAGATACAGCGAGACCCTTCACTTCTATATTTGCTGGTTCTGGCTCATTTTAATTTTAAACATGCACGAAATCACGTAAACATTTTGTCTATGTTACTAGAAACTTTCTTATAAACATTGCTGCCTTATATTTTAACGCTTTCTTAGCTGTCATTCCAACGTAGGAACGTATCAGCGGCCCCCAACTCCGTCACGTCTACCCGACATGCCACTAACTCTTCCCTCATTCGACTGCTCAGTTCGGGCACGGACGGGTTCGCCGACTTTGCCAGCGCGTTCGGCGGCGGCGGCGGCGGGGGCGGCAGCGCGCCGGCGCCCGTGCCGCCGCCGCTGGGGCGACCACCGGGCACGGCGCCCACCGCTCTCACCCCGCCCGGAGGAGGCGGCGGCCACGACCTGCTCGGAGGCATGACGCGTGAGTTACCAGGGACAGCTAAACCCGGGGAGGTAGATCAGTAGCGGTTGCTTCACAGTGCTCGTTTTGTTCTGTGTTTTAGGTGCTGTGTCGATTAACATTTTATTTCATGTAGTATGGGTAGTTGCTTGTTTTTTGTTTGCGTAGATATACTTATTGGTTTATTTTACCTTGTGAAGTTATGTAACTACATTTTCATCTCCAAAGATCGTAGTTTCTTTCTCTCTCTTTGCGAAGTTGTGTTTTACTCCTCTGCATTTCCCATTCTGACGCTCCTGTATATTGTATGGCGCATTTTCAACCTACAATCGTTACTGCCCCACCGTGCATTAGACTTGATAATGTGGTTGACCGCTCACTGCCCACAATGCCAATGTAATCTTCACACCGTAACGCTTAACTTCACGCATTCGGCTGTTTAACAGACTGCCTGCATCGCCTTACCGTTTTGTGTTTGCGAGCGTCGTTACACGCAAGCTGGAGATGTTTCAGATATATTTTACATCATGTTTGTCTTAGTATGTAAACTTATATATGTATAAGATGTCCATTATTTGGCACATCGTCTCCAGCTGTTTGCGACGCTCGCCCCTCCCCACACGCCCCCGGCTCACGCCCACCCGGCACCGGCCTCAGTAGCGTCTGTGTCTCGGTAGCCCCGCTCTCTGCACCTGCCGCACCCGCCCCGGCCGCCGCCGCCGCCGCACCGCCGCCGGCCGCCCAGGACAACTCCAGTCTGCTGATGGGTCTGAGTCTGGGCCCGCCGGCGGCCGCCCAGCCCAGCATGGACCTGTTCGGCGCGCCGCCGCCGCTGGCGCCGGCGCAACAGCCGACCAGTTTGCCAACCATGGGAGGTGAGTGGTGCGACCGAGCGGCGGGAGACGCCAGGACGCGGGGTGGTGGTGTGTCGTGAGTAGAAATGTTGTTATTCCCCCTTATCCCTGATTCAATTATGCCCTTGTTTTGTATTTCTCTTTGTTGGGGATGATTGTTGAACCAGTTATGTTGCTATGATTTTCAAAGTTCTTACATTGGAAAGAATCCTTGAACTTATTCATCTACATATCTAAAAAGGGGAAAGCCATTTATACACTGCTGCAAGCACGATATTCCCGCATGCAACTACGCAAGAGAAACCCTGTGCGTTTGGAACGATTTGCGCCGCCTGCCTCCTCCGAACACATACTCGCCTAAGTGGCCCGGAGCAGGCCTTGGAACCATCAGCAGCAGATGTCGAGTACCGCCGGCCGCCGGGCAAGAAACACAGGCTCTGAAAGACGGCTGTGTTTGCAGCGGAGGCGGCGGCGGCAGCCTCAGCAGCGGAGCAGCTGCGTCTTCTGCGACAGCGCCTGGCGCCCGGCGGCAGCGGCGGAGGGGCAGTGACTGAGCTGCTGGACTGGCTGCCGGGTCCGGCCTCCCCGCAGCGGCTGGTCGGCCTGGACCCGCCGCCGCCGGCCGCCGCTGTGTTCCTGGACCGGTACTGGGAGGACGTGGTACACACCCTGCTGGAGCGGGTGCGACTCGACTGGCCGCGCGGCGACGAGCGGGCGGCGCTCGGAGAGCTGCTGCAGCGCGGCCCGGCCGACACCACACTGCGCGCCCTGCTGGACGCGGTGGAGGAGCTGGAGCCCTGTCACCGGCGGGACGAGGCGCTGCGCTGGCTGCGGCAGCTGCTGGACGGCGACGCCCTGCCGCTGCTGCTCGGCTGGCTCAGTCTGGCCGGCCGCGGAGACGACGAGAGGGTAGTGGAGGTGTGCCGACTGCTCTGCGCCGCCCCCGACCGGCTGGCGAACCGGCTGCAGCTGCAGACGCCGCCCGAGCTGGCACGAGCCGCGCTCTCAGAGAAGGTGGGGCGTTACGTCCTCTGGACGTTGTGGCTGGTGCGGGACGCGCTCGCTCACGAGTTTGAGGCGTCGGTGCAGCCGGCTGCGCGGCTGCTGGGACAGGCAGTGCGGGCGGGACTGGCGGACCGGGCGCTGGAGGCGGTCCTGACGCAGCTCAGACGGTACACGGCCGGAGACTTTCTGTGGCGCCGCGTATCGGCTCGGTTCGTACAGGCGCTCCCGGACCGCGCCGCCGAGCGGCTGCTCGAGTCGGTCCTGCTGCGGGCCGCCCACCCGGCCGAGCTCCAGTGGTTGTGTGGTGGCGAGCTGCCGGCCAGCGCGCTCCACCGCCGGCTGCTCACCAGCAAACTGACCATGTTCCGGACGCTGGACGCGGTGGCCGCGCGGAACCTGGCCGGCTACCTATCGGCCGCGGCGCCGGACGCGCTGCTCGAGCTGCTGTGTGACGCGCTGGCCGTGTGGGCGGACCGGAGTGCGCTGCGACACACCACGCCCGAGCACCATCTCTACCTGAGCCAGGTGGTGGTGGCCGCGGGCTGTCGGCTGCCGGACGACCGCCGGGCCGCGGCGCGGGAGCGCGCGCTGCCGCTCCTCATGGACGGCGTGCCGGCGCACCTGGAGAGCGCCAGCGCGCCGCTCCGTCAGCTGGGGGTGTGTGCGGCCCGCCTGCTGACCGCGCGGCTCGCGCCAGACCTACCGGCGCTGGAGATTGAGTACGAACGGACACCGGAGGTGGAGCAGCTGGAGAGGGCGGCTGACGACCCGGGCGAGCCGCCCCAGCCGCCCGCCAAACTGTACAGCTACAATGACTTTTTGGAGAGCGTGGCGTCTACATCGCTGGATGAGAAGAAAGCTTTCACGAATAGTGGTGCAAATTCAAAGTCTGCTACCTCTAAACCTGGTGCAAAAGGGGGAACTGAAACTCTGGCACCATCACCGAAATCAGCCGCGCCGGCGGAGGCAGCAGAACCTCTGGACAGTGACGACGACTTGGAGCCTTACGACCTATCGAACGACACACCGAAGCAGGCAGCACGACCCGTGTACGCCCGAGATCTGCCTGAGGCGCTGCTGGAGCAGGAGGACTGGGCGCGAGCCGAGGCTGCCATGTCGGCGGCCGCACCGCTCATCAGACGGCAGCTCGGGCCGCGCGACGGACCGCTGGCCACAGAGGTACTGCGAGCTCTGCTGCACGCCACCGACAAGTTCAACCTGGCTGGGTTCGATCAGATGCGTGCCGAGGCGATGACGGCGGCTGTGGTGGCAGCCCCGGAGGCGTGCGCAGCGTATTTGACCGGTGAATTCTATGAAAGGAACTACGCGATCATCCAGAGGATGGATATGCTGGACACATTGGTGGCGGCGGCGCGGGAACTCTCCAAACTGGAGGTGCCGGCGGCGCCGCTAGGTGGCAGCGGCCGCCTCTCCACACACTGGTCAGAGGTGGTGAACGCTCGTCTGCAGGCGCGCACTCGCCGGCTCGGCTCGGCGGCTCGCGCCCCAGCCGCGGCCACCAACCGGTTCGCCGCGGTGGCCGGAGCGTTCTTTTTCCCGCTGCTGCGTGCGTACGACGTGCGGACGCCCGGCCTGGACCTGATTGGCGGCGAGCCGCTGCTGCTGGTGCGGCTGCTGCACGCGCTGGCCGCGGTGGCCGGCTGCGCGGGCGCCGGCGCCCCCTCCGCCGCCCGGATGGCCGAGGCGGCGCTGCAGCTCAGCTGGACGCTGGGCGCGCACCCGGAGCCGGCGGTGCGCGCCGCCGTCCGACTGCTGCTGGCCGTGACTGTAGCCTCGGCCGGTGCGGCCAGCGTGGCTCACCTGCGGGCCGAGATGGCCGACGCGCTGAGCGGCCTGGTGGCGGCTGGTGAAAACGATAGTGCGCCCGACGCGCGAGAGATGGCGCAGCAGGCAGCTCAGCTGGTGCGGCATACTTTGAGAGAAGTAGCAGAGATGCTGTTGCAAGGGTCGCAGCCGGCGTGAGAAACGGCTGATGGGTATAGCTTTTACTTGACGCTAGCACTGGTTGGCTTGCGTGCCTTTGTCGTTGCTTGTCGATCAATATGCGAACTGCTTGAGGGCACGTTTTGTAAAAGCTTTTGTTTCATTTGGTACCGTGTTGTTATAAGAAAGGTGCGTTACTGTGTAACGCAAAGGAAGCAAGTAAGCCAGTTTGGAATAGATTTACAAAGTCCAGAAAGGAATGGGCTCGATTCGTACCGTATCGTTATCCTTTTATTCACTCGGATGTCATGCTGATTTTGTTCCATACCTGTATGCATTATGCAAAGCTTGTGGCGAACCAATAAACCAATTCAATGAGTGTTTCCAGCGTTTTAGATGCTCCTTTGCCCCAACATGCTGTAAATAACTTATAAAACAACTCCATGAATGTTTTAAGTGTATCTGCAAGGGCCGGGTTTTCCAGCCCACCACGTGCCTTGATCCAACTTCCGAGCTGATGATGTTACGGAAGCGTTCTGCTCTCGGTAAATATTGATAACCTGGTTTGAATCAAGTACAAGCTATCGTTGTGCTCCAAATCACTTTATATTGATTTGCTGACCATAAGACCAAGCTTGCAGCGTGCATATTACAGGGTGTCCACGTCATTAAAGTGTACCCAGACTTTTCTCCATATTTTATCTTAAAAACATCACACTCACGAAGAATTGCCCTCGTTTGAGAGCCAAGGCAATGGCAAAACATTTGCTATGCTTTTCAACTGTGCTCGGCACTCTGCTGACCAGCGCGTGCCGTCTAGAGCAACTGCTCTATATGAGCCCCTTTGCGTCGGGCCACCGCCGGCAGATGGAACGTCTGGAGGTGGGTGATCGCCTGGTCAACCATGTGGGAAGGAAGGCGACGGATCTCGTCGATGATGACGTCTTTCAGCTCCTGGGTCGACCCTGGATTGCCAGCGTATGCACAAGTCCTTGAGAAAGCCCCACCAGAAGAAATCTAGAGGGCTGAGGTCGGGCGAGTGGGGAGCCCATTCCACCGCGCTTTTCAAGCTGATGTGGCGGTCAGGAAAGTGCTCCTCCAGGAATTCCAGCGACCGTTTGGCGGTGTGAGGCGGCGCCCCGTCTTGTTGAAACCATTCTTCATGGCGACGGATCCCGCGTCTCCGCTTCAGCTCTCGCCAGAATCGTTCCAGTGCCTCCGAGGCGTAGCGTTCTAGCGTTACGGTGTTGTGTTCGTCTCTCCCCTGTCGTCTTCGAAAAAGAAGGGGCCGATAATGCCCCCTCCATGCCTCATAGCCACCCAAACCGATACTTTCTTGCTGTGCAGAGGCATGTTCTGAACTTTTTCTAGGCAATGGGATCCCCAGTGCACGGGGCATTGTGGGATTTCACATGCCACGGTCCGTCTGCCGGCGGTGGCCCGACGCAAAGCGGCTCATATAGAGCAGTTGCTCTAGACGGCACGCGCTGGTCATCAGAGTGCCGAACACAGTTGAAAAGCATAGCAAATGTTTTGCCATTGCCTTGGCTCTCAAACGAGGGCAATTGCTTGTGAGTGTGATGTTTTTAAGATAACATACGGAGAAAAGTCTGGGTACACTTTTGACGTGGACACCCGGTAGGTACAGGTCTCGCGAGATTAAGCGGTAGGTTTTGCACTTTTACATTTCCGGTTATATCTCAGAAACTAATCGATCTACGATGAAGCCATTTTACACGATCATGGCCGGCTTGTTACCCAACAAGTCGAACGCATCTTCGAAACTTAAAAGCTTAAGACGACGAAGATATAGCCTGAAGTACACTAAATTTTCTAGGTGCAAAACCTACCGCTAAAACCCGCGAGACCTGTACTTTAGCCTGAGCCTGGAACACCAAAGGAAGGACCGAGGATGCCGCAGGATTTGAGACGATTTTTAGAATGCTCAGATAGTCTCCGAGATCAATGCAAAGGTCTGTCACGGTGTGCACAATGAAAGCCTTTCTCAGCCGCTATAAATAACAAACGTTTGAGACTAGGCACAAGTCTGCTGTCATCATCAGATGTGTTCCGGGGAAACGACTTCAGACGCCCAGGTGTTGACTGTTGGGCTTCATCCAGGTGATTCCCCCCGCCCAGGTGACTCTCCACCCTATCTCGCAGATTTATCCCTCACTAATGCCTGCATATTCCTGGCTATTTGTAGGTACCGAATGCTCCATGTGGATCAAGCTCGTGAATGCACGTTTCGTTTCATTTTTACTTAAATAATTCATAATATAGATTATCTAAGTTACTGGTATGTATCAGTTCCTATCCCAAGCCCTGGCGTTCCTTCGTGTAAATGCTGGTTTATTTAGAGCACATAAATAAAAGCCAAAATTATCACCGTTATATATTACGCTATTCGCATTTTGTTTGACGGTCGTTCTTTCATCATATTAGTGACACGTTTGTTCCAACAGGCGTAGAAACAATTCAATTCCCTGGTTGCTATAGGCTGCAACAGGATGGTCAAGGTGGACCTCATCTCTATAATGAAAAGTGCTCTATAGCAGATTCATATTGTTAGACCATATCGCCAACCTACGCTGTTTCCAGGTGATGACGACTGTTTCGTTCCATGTTCTTTGTTCCCCACTACCGGCCACAGATGTGCCTGTCCCCCTGTTTTGTTGGCGCTTCTTACCTGCCTTTCTTTCCCACCTGGCACCTACCAACCAAATCGTATTATGACCCGGGTGTTTTGGGTCCCCTCCCCTCGCTCGTGACATGTTAGGCTGGGTATATTCATTTTCCTCATTCCTCCCCTCCTACCTGTCGGGACAGTGGTAGCGTGTTCTGGTTCGGTGTTCCGTTCCGCTCCCCACCCCATGACATGTTCTGACGGGGTGTTTTCGTCCCCTCCCCAGGTCTGGACCTGCTGGGCAGTCCGCTGGTACCGGCCCCCTCCTCGTCAGCTGGCCTAATGTCGACGGCCTCCGCCGCGCCTGCTCAACCAAATAGCCAGAATGTGGTCAGTGATGACGCCAAGACCTGCGAGGCGCAGCGCTGTTTGATTAAAACGTCACTTCCTTTTGGTAGATCTTGCCACTCCCGACTTAATTGTGGCATTTTTCTCGCAGTGGATTTTATCGTCTTTTAGGCCACTGATGAACGTACCCGTTTCCGTGGTACCTTTAGTATGACCTGTTATTAGCCTTATGAATCACTAGCTGATATTTTGTTGTGACCTCGTCACCGAGAGCGTGTCCCCTGACCTAAAACTAACCTTACCCCTGACCTGACCTGACCGCCGTTGCGCAGGGTTCGACGTGGTCCGGTCTGAAGGGTGTCGACATCAGTCTGGACAGTCTGACGCTGTCCAACAAACCGTCTCGCGCGCCGCAGCCGTCCATGAACCAGCTGATGGGCGGCCAGGCTCCGCCGCTGCGGCCGGCGCCGCCCATGCTCGGACAGCAGGCGGCACCTCCAGCGGCCGGCTTCGCCATGGGTGAGTGACACGGGCGGGGGAGCGGGCGGGGAACGGGAGGTGGGTGGAGCATGAAGAGGGGGCTATTTTCGGCATGGGCTGGTAGTGACTCCCATTGCGCACTAACACACTTTTGTTTTTGTTTAGACGCATTTCCTTGGATCTTGCTCTTTGGCTATGCTGGCAAACAATAATTTAGCCATGTTTCGTTCATTCTGGGCCTTGGAATCATCAGTATCAGCATGCAGCACCCTAATAGCTCATGTTAGTTCGTCAGGATCGTCAGTAACCCGCCCTGAACATTTTCTCTCAGGATCTACTGACCTTAGCGAATTTTGAAGAGGATCGCTGTCCAGCTGTAAGCTCGTATTACGTACCAGGGAGTGCATGTCTGGTTGTTTATGTTGCGTCAGCCGCGGGCATACCCTGCTACCTTTGTCAGGCGACTTTCTGTTTGGGTGGCCCGGGGTAGTCCTGACAGATCTGTGGTGGTCCTAGCCTTTTACGTAATTCGTTTTCGGTAGCTCGAGGTCGTGTTCAATATTACAACTGACAGCCATCGCGATACAGCGTGGCGATGCCGGCACTTTCTCCCCACTGAACCGGTTCATATAAGTGGGTATTATTTTGTTTCGATTGAGGCGGGCTTGCTGATCGTTTTCTTCGACACGCCATCCCTGTCTTATGCCAACACGAACCTCTCTGGCACTGGCGCGCTTCGTATACGTTTAGTCAACGTTTCTTCAATCATTCCTTCATTGTGTTAAGTCTATCAAGATGGAGAACCTACTTTTTCTGTAATCTGTACATGGCTTTGCGATAAGCGTTTTCTGAAGAAAAAAATTATGGCAGCTCTTTGTTCAGTTTTTAATTTCTTTTTTTAATCTCTTGGATAAGTTTTTGCTTAAACATTCCCAATATGCAGACCAGTTCAAGAGGTTTTGCAGAGACGGTGATAAAGTGGTCAACAAAGGTTGGATATTTTATGCAACTAATGATCTCTACTCTAACCTAATCAGGAATTCCAGCTGAAGCTCTTGATTTCAAGTCTCACGGACTGTTCGTGTCTGGCACTCAGTAGACACAGGCTCAGGTTGTAATTTACAGGTTGCGTGCTGACAATCACATCATCGCAATATATGTCTGATGGAATTTTGACCATTTTAGCCCAGTAGTGAACTGAAGAATGACGAATACTCCTACCGTGATCCTATCATGCCTGTCAATTAGTTCAATACCGATATGTAGCATATCAGCCCTTGTATAGGATATCAAGGTCTTAGTGGTGATCATTAATAATATAACATTAGTTCATATTTCCAAGGTGATGTCTTGGCGAAGCGTGTCACATGAACATAGGAACTCATGAAAATTCAGAACCAGCTTCATTATAACCTTTCGTGGGTATTAAAAAGCACCTTACACACGGTCGTCCATGTTCGCCCTTGTTGTCTCAATGTCGTGTCGTGTCGCATGGTGCTACAGCTGCATCCAGTCCTGCCTTCTCCATCGGGGACCGAACGTTCCCAGTATGAGATGTAGCCAGCTTCTCCCCAGTCGGTTGGGTAGCAGCTTTGGATGTCTGAACGTACCGCACAGTCGCTATAAATGTGTCAGTGCCCACTCCCTTCACCCTTGAGTTGTTCACAGTATGCCGTGCGAAACAGTACACCCGGGAGCTCAAGCATTCAGTACCGGCGCAGCAGGCTGTGAATCTCCGCTTCGCGTTCGTTGCTACGCTCATTTTAGTCCTGAAACAATGGGGGCGTCATATCTATGCGTTAAAGCCACTGCTGGCCCACTGGTGTCTACCTGTGCATCAAGACTGTATGATGTTTCATCGTTGTCAAACTACTGACGCATGTCCCCCTCTGTCTCTATATGCCTGTCTGTATCTTTGTCCGTCTGTCCTTGTCACTGTATCTCTCTTCACTCTTCTCTATCTATCTGTCCGTCTGTCACTGTCCATTTCCTCATTTCCCCCCTCCCTGCCGTATGTCCCTGCCGCGCTGACGCCCCCGCCCCTCTCCGCCAGGCGCCCCGGTGACTGGGTTCGGCATGGGTCCGCAGTCGCCCCAGCAGCAGCAACAGCGACCGCCGTTCTTCCCGGCTTTCCAGTGACGCGTCCCTGCCATGTGCCCGCCCGGGGCCCGCGCTCGGCCCCTCTGTGATGACCGGTGGCCTAGGCGGACCGCCGACCGGCTCCGTCGGCCGGCCGCCCGTCTGCCTGAATAGAACGATCACGAAGCATGGAATAGAAGCGATGAAGAAGAGAGAGGCTGCGGATGAAACGGAAGAAGGAGTGACGACGAGGGAATGAGGAGGAGAATGTTGGATATCAGAAGATTTGATGGAAGATAAAGGATTTGTGTGAATGTTGAGCGGTGTGTCAGAGACGCGTGCGTTTGATGTGTCAAGTGTCGAGGCGAGTGTGTGTGTGTGACAGGTGAGATGCAGGTCAGCCCGCCAGGCTGAGGGTGAACGCGAACATTCCGGTGTCGTTCGGACGGCCCGTCGGAGATGGACGGAGTGGATGTCTGGGGTCAGCGCGGCAGTGTGAGAGAGCCCCACCTACGCAAGTGTGTCTGTGTGCGTCAGAAACCGTTTACGGCGCGTTGCTGCGCCACGTATGGAGCGTATGCGTCGTAGGTGACGCTGTCGGACGCGCGGTGTGGGTTTCAATCGATCTGTGTCCGCTCCGCGTTCGAGTGAGAAAGGGCCCTGGCGGCCGCCGCCGGCGCAACGGTGGACCTGTTGACCTTCTTTTACAGAAAATTTACGTGTCGTTGCGAGCGCGGGAGCGGAAATATCACTTAGGATTAGTTTTAGTGGGGGCCGGACGGTGTGGTCGGCCCCTCGATGTGCTCAGTTGTGGCCCGAGCTGCAGGTGCTTTCGTGAATTATTGCACGAGCCTTTATCATAGCACCCAATAACGCCTTTGCAGACCAACAAATTTATTTAACGGTGTGGGGTACGAGATCATAGCATGCAAACACAAATATTTTCTACGTGCTACACAACAGAAGCAAATAAAGAAACTCGTCCAAACCGTGTGTCCTGTGATATGTCGGACGTGGGGGCCTTGCAGTATTGTTGTTTTTAGTTTGAGTGGCTCCATCTACAGAACATCAGAGATTCGATTGTAACGGATCCTCAATCCTGAGACTAGCATGCATCCGCACGACTGGGTTTCACGAGAATTCCAGTGGTAGGATAATGTGCTTCACCCCTCCCAAAACCCGGGAAAAAATGTAACAGGGTGCGGTACACGTGGCAGAAATGAACAATTGTCCAGTAGGAGCATTTTTCGATACTATTTGAAATTCATGTTCGTCCATCACTGAAACGAATAAGCTATCACGACATCAACAGATGTTCACCTCAACAAGCCAATTAGAGGAAAATGTACAGAACGGCTCTCGCATGTTTCACACTCGGGAAAAGTAAAGAGGACCGTGACATCAGCAATAAAATATTGACTTCGGTAGCAGTTGCTGACGAATCAAAATCCATCTTCATGTCTCGATGGCACCTGGTCAGTCAGGCGGCTATTGGAGCTCCCTGCGCGTGCGCAGACAGGTGCTGCTGAGGGCCCGGCGGTCCGGCCGGACCGTCTTCCTCATTGTGTCGCACGGCGTGTGGTCAGCCCCGCTGGTTCGGGGAGCCGCCGCCGGAGTATATTTCTTCTCTTCCCTTGGTGAGTCGATGAGTAAAGCTCCCGAACACGTATCGCACTTCAATATAATAGGTGCCAAGGCGGGTCGGCGTTGAGACACTATCTTCTCAGTGCTTGTGTTCGCATGGGCGCTCATCATATGGAACCCGGGCGGTACATCCGGTGATGTGGTCGATCGTCGGTGGGGGCCGGGGGGACGCCATGTCTTACTCGGCCAATGGACCCAGTAGAAACACCCGGTAGACGGTGTTTGAAAAAACACCAAAAATCATGACAAAGGTGCCGTACCCAATTTTTGTGTCAGGTGAAATATCAGGTCACCAGAAGTCAATTAAGCTCAAATTTAGGCAGGACTTTGTTGGCATACCCCTTATCGTTCGGCGCGCACCGATGAACGATACACAACGATAGTGTAAAAGATGACGGGAACTTCATAGAAAAAAGGAGAAAAGGTGCGTTTCACGTTAACCCGCGCCCCGTTGGGCTCTGCCGAGCAACGCGCCCGGTTGGGGGGGGGGCATTTTGCCCCCCCCCCCCCTAAGATCTCGAGAACCACGCAACATAGCGACAAGCGGTAAACGGCGTTGGATAGCCCCAACGGGGAACTACCTTGTGACCCAATTTTATTGACCTAGGTCAAACCGATGACGTCACAGGTCAGGTCAAAGGTCCAATTTTCACCGTTTACAGGCACTTCAAGAAATGCGTTGTAAAATCGAGTAAAATGCATTTCATTGAAAATCATCGATGGGGAAATGTTCTTCAAACACATATTTTGCTATTTGAGGTCACTGATACCAGGTCAGGTCACAGAGGTCAGGTCACGGGGGGGTCACAATATGAAAGAATCGTGTGATACATGTTTTATGGTCCATTTTACATGACAAATGCGATTATATGGGTCAGGCAGCCTTTGGGGCCAGCTTAGATCACGTTTTGGTCAAGGTCAGGTCAAGGTCAGGTCAAGGTCAGGTCAAATTAGGTCAAATTTCAAAGTTAATATTTTTGCATAAAATGGGTATCGAATCGATGCAGCTCGTCACGGGGAGTTCAATGGTGGTCTTTGTTTTGCCGTACGTGGTCTAGAATTGCTAAAAATTGAGTTCAAAAATTTGACGTCATCATTTTTGAACAGTTTTTTCGCTATAACTTGGCCAAAAAACGAGATATCGATCTGAAATTTGGTATGTATATAGAAGAGCGCTGGGACTATCACATATATTCCGGTTTTTTTCGAAATTCGGAAAAATTTTGGATTTTTTTAAAGTTTTTCTAAAAAAAATCAATTTTTTGAATTTTTTTTGGTCAAAAACCAAAAATTTTGAAAATCCGAGATAGCAGTTTTGTAGCACCGCTTTTTGTCTACTAGACCATATAAAGAACTTTGAAATTGCTTGATAACTGTAGATTTGGTGAGCGTTTCAAGATTGCATGTTTTTTGCTCATTTTTGCTCGAACATGACCTCAGTTTGACCTCAATAACTCCTGACCTAAGGTGACCTAAGACTTGAAATTTGGTGTGAAGGTGTCAAATTGATGCCCGGGAAGGTACTAAAAATTTGGCGGCGCTGCGCGCCGCCGTTTTCTTGCTATTCAGGAAAAACCACAGGGGGGGCCAAAATGCCCCCCCCCCAACGGGGCGAGGGTTAAGAGATTCCGATTTAGAGAGTAGCGGGGTTTATATCAGAATGAATAGACTTAAGCTGGCACCCGCGCCGTGTTGGTACCTGGTGGTCTAAGGTTTCCGTGTCGTGCTGGGGCCTGGGGGTAGAGGGAAAAGGCGTTTTCACGCCCCTCCCCCGCCCCCTGTCTAACTCGGCTCCTGGGCCACGTAGCGACACGCGGTAAACGGCATTCGAAAGAGCGTCAAAAATAATGACGGAAATACTTCAGTCATTTTTTAGGTCAGGTCAAAGGTCAGGTCACCAAAGGTCATCAAAGGTCAAATCTTGTCTATTTTAACAACTATCGAAACACCCGACGCATACTCGGAAAACAGTAGAGCTACACCGACGCGGAAAAGCACATTCGATAGCTCTTTCACAGGCCTTTCTGAGTATTGTCCTCAGATTTGACCTAAGGTCAACGGTTTAGCCTCCAGAGGGCAAAAACTCTAAAAGTAGCCGTTACGAATAAAAAAAATGTTTTTCGGTAATACCTTTTGACTCAAGAGAGCCACGACATTAATTTTGCTAGCATCGTTTTCCTCTCGTCGAGACGCGTCGAATGAAGTATGAGCTGACATTGAAAAGTCATTTGAAAAATTGGACCTTGGGTCATGACCTGACCGGAAAGGGTCATGCTGCATATAAGTCGATCCGTATCGTCGAGCTGAACACATCTGACGTGTTTTCACCGCTCTAGCACGTCTCTATCAAAAGTTATAATAAAAATTGCTGGTGACCTTTCGTAACCTGAGATGACCTCAGGTTTCGTAGCCTGAGATGACCTCAGGGGCACACAGAGGGGTCACGGGTGCACGTTTCCGGTTCAGTCAGTGTGTCATATTTACCTACCTATAAATCGATGCTTGAGAGTGTTAAGAACGACACTCGTCCAAAAGAGGCACATTTCAATTTTTCCCATTGACTTAGGTACAAGTATGTAGAGGTCACGAAATTGACCTGACCTTAGGTCACGGATATCAAGATTCCGAGACCTACTTTATACATCCTGTTACTCTTATCAATCGCTAAAAGTTTTAAAGCGATCGTTCAGTCGGTGTAGCTACAGCGAGCTTTTAAACTTTTTCTGAGGCAAGGTCACTTGACGTGACCTGGTGACCTGACCTTGAACGACCCGGGTCGGAAATTTTTACATGTGTAGAAAAAAATGTATGAACAGGTGTACCAAAAACGGCACCCGTTTTTGAGATATTCGCGAAAAACCTGAGGTGAGGGGCGTGAAAACGCCCCCTCCCCCTCTCCCCCGTACGCCGCGGGTTGACTCAATGATTGATGGTTCGCTTCACTCACACGTTGTCGTTTCCAGTTACTTATGCCTATTGTCTGACTGACCCCTTCGTATAACTGTATTGCTCTTCTAACCTGTCCAGGACAATTTTCAGAGGAAAAAATTGGCATATTACTATTTTCATAAAGATTACTATCTTCATAAAGCTATCTACTTTTCGGAAACAAATTTACGAGAAAAAGATAAAAAATACCACCGTCGCAAGCAAGTATACCTAGTGTATAACAAAGTGCGACAATCAACGCCTGTTTCAAGCCTGGGGGAATAAGTACCTAACACTCAATACAACCGCGAGGACAATGCAGAACACCGTTGCAAGCGAGCAAATATTGATCATCAAAGCGTTGAAGAACATATTGCAAGATCGCGGAATAAAGAAGGCTCGGCATTGCAAGTTGAAAAACGCTTGCAAGGATGTGCTGGGTAAGTTTGGCGTCCGCTGCAATTAGTTATGAATAGGCAATTGGTAGTTGTTCGTAACAATTTTGTCGGATTAGAACATGTCATATTGGTATTCGACTTATTTTGCTGTTCCGTCATTAGGCTCGTAAATCGATCCTGACCTCAGACGGGTCACGTCACCGGTCGACCTCGTATCTGAGAAATGGATACCAGTTGGTGCGTTTCGCAATGGCACATGTGCTAGTTTTTTTTTTTTCGCGAAGCTCTAGCTCAATTAGGGACGAAACGGCGGGAAGCAAGATTCCATAAACTCTCCCCCTCGACCAGACAGAAAGATAGAAAATAGAAAACTATTTAGAAAGATAGGAAATAGAAAATAGAAGGTAAATAGAAAACCGCTGGGTCCAGCGCGAGCTTAACCACCAAATTTAACAACACGTCGCCGACAGAGTGGGCCAAGAGGACGCCGGAGTGGGGCGCCGGCCCCCGTCGGCGCCGGCCGTCGGTGACCGGTCAGCTGAGCGCAGACGTCACGGCCGACGTGTACCTGGTGCCGCTGGAGCTGGCCTGTCGCTCCGAGTCGGCCACGGTGGTCGTCTCCGCCGCCGACTGCCTCCAGGTGAGCGCAGAAAAACTATTTTTGTCATTCTCCATTTCGATTGCATATTACATAGGTTACATTACATTACATGACATTACATTATTGATGGAGTTGAGTGCTTGTGCCAGGAGCATTATAATAGTTATTTGAAAATATGCAAGCATGACCTTTCCCCGATATTGAATGAAAAAGTGCCGAAAAATGTACTTAATTGCTAGAAGACATGTAACAATATTAAATATTCTCGCAAAAAGTACACTTTCCGGCACTTGGCATCGCCGGCCGTAGGTTTAGGTCCGGCGCATGACAACTCGGGATTAACTGGGACTGTTCGAGTGAGGTGCAGCAAGAATGCCAAAAAAGATTATTAGCACCTACTGTGCCGCTGTTTTTATTCTATAGAACGAGAACCTAAGGGGTAAAAAACGCCTGCACTAGCTTAACCTTCGCCCCAGTGGGGGGGGGGCATATGTTACCACCCTGTCGCGTTTTTTGCGTGTAAATAAAAAACCGCGGCGCGTAGCGCCGCGCCCCTTGGGGTAGCTCTTGGTACATCAATTTTGGACAATGTGTGAAATTTTTGACCCCAGGTCATGTCAGGTCAGGTCACCAGGTCAAGTTAACTGACCAAGCCTAAAAAAAAGTTTGCAATCATGTCCAGCCAGCAGTGTTTGTCGGAAAGGTTTTAAACTTGGTGGAATGGATGATGTTATGGGCGCCTACAATTTGTATATCTCGGATTTTTTATATCCGTGACCTAAGGTCAGGTCAGTGGCGTGACCTTTCCATTACAAGTCAATGGAGAAAAATGAAAATGCCTCTAGATCCGTGTGTACGCATAGGAACAGTCCAAATATTTCAGAATCACAATGATTTGGACCACCCGTGATGACCAAGGTGTCATTTTTGCTGGTAGCCTCTAGAAAGGTCATCCGAGGTCATTTGAGGCTACAAACAGTTTTTTGCCAATAACTCGCGATTGGAAAGAGATAGAACGCTGGGGATGGTCTCATTGTGTTTGTCTTGCCGAGACGCATCGACTGATATGCAACATGACCTTTTCCGGTCAGGTCATGACCTTGACCTGAGGTCAAATTTTCAAGTTGACCTTTCAAGGTCAAATTATAGTTCATTCGACGCGTCTCGGCGAGAGGAACACGATTCTGGCAATAGAAATGTCGTGGCTTTTTGTAGTCGAAAGTTATTGTCGAAAAACACTTTTCGTAAAAACAGCTATTTTTGGAGTTTTTGCCCTCTGGAGGCTAAACCGTTGACCTGAGGTCAATTTTGATAATGACCTTATCAAAAGAAGAGTTCAAAAGCTATCGATTGCTGTTCCATGCGTTTTTCTAGCTACCATAGTTCCCGAGATAACCGCATGTTTTCTGAAAAATATAATGACCATTGGCAAATTTTGACCTTTGATGACCTCTGGTGACCCCAATATTGCTCTAAGATGAAAAATGACCGAAATACTTTCAAACGTACGCATTGAGAGCTATCGACTGCTTTTTACCGCGACTTTCTATCCCTCTTAGTTTTTTAGTTAGAGGTGGGTGGTAACATTGCCCCCCCTCACTAGGGCGAAGTTGGCTGAGACCGCCACTGGGGCGCGGGTTAAAATTGCCACCCTTGCTATCCTCCCAACCACTGTGCTTGACCTGACCTGACCCGATTCTCCCCACAGAAGCTGATTTCTCACGGTCACCTGACGGGGGACCGGCCGGACCCGACGTCTCCGGCGGCCGGTCAGCGGCAGATGGACCGTATTGTGCAGACCGTGTGCGGCTGCTTCACGGGCGCGTACACCGACGAGCAGGTGCAGCTGCACGTGCTCAAGGTACGTACGGCCCGGCGCCTGACTGCCCCGCTCTAACGCAAGTCAAAGTGAGCTGGGGCTGCGCTGCCGGCTGTGGTGATATGAGAGTCTAGTACGAAAGCGTAAAGGTATGCATAGGTGTGCGTCAGTCGGCTGACATGACTGCAGCTTAAGCCCTGTGGTGGTCTATGATTCGGGCCAATCAATGATAATATATTCGAGAGATTTGGATACCTAGAACTGGTGGCCGGAAAAGGTTGGTGAAGTTGCAGATGTGCTCAGGGAAACTGAGAAAGGGCACTGGAGTTTGCCTCCGTGGAGAAGGATTGTAGGTTTAGATCTAGCTCCATCGAAACATGTGGCAAAGCGTGAGCATGAGGCTTTTTCATCAGGCAAAATATTGGACCTTAGCTACGTAGGAGCGGTTGTCGGTGATTGATTCGGTCTCCAGCTCTGGAGACTGGAAGACGTTTATTTATAACATAAAATAGCTATTTATTTCCCTACATTTCTCGGAATCGGTGATATTTATTTTAGTTAATGATGTGCTTCTTTTAATTTTCAGCCCTGTTCCTTGTTTGTTTTCAACCTTTGGTCACGTTTCGTGACACACTATGGCATGGCATCGGCCTCAGTTTGTAATGGCATCTCTATATCTGGTGTAGAATCGTGCAAGAAAATGAGACATCAGCAGCGATTGGGCTACTTCAAATACCGTACCGTTACATGCGTCCTTCAGGGCCTTCTCAAGGACATTCATTACAATAATATTATTTGTTAAAATTGCACAGTTATGTTCAGGTTCACAGAGGTATCAGGAAAACGGCACACTGCATATCCGTGTTCTGATGGCGTCTATGGACAGGGAACGGGAAAGCTGCCGGGTTAATACGGTTATTGAGTGCACGGGCCGAGAGACTTTTCGGCAGCACAACTGAGCACATTGGTGATCAACACAAACGTTAAATCGAGCATATCAATGAGCAGCCATTGCGACAAGAAGATGGCGTCTCTTGTCCAAGGATTGGAAGCAGGAATTCAGCCCTCAGCAGCACGAGTTACGAACTACGGATACATATTTTAAATTCCATCATGAACTGATTGCTTATGATTGCCGACACACAAATGAACCATGAGCCATCATCACAAGAATGGCTGTTGAAGAATCATTGACCTTTTCCTCGAAGAAGTAAAAACAATACCAAAAGTTATATTTAATGCGGTGAGCTTTCGGCTACAAGCCTTCGTCAAACCAACAATATGACACGATACAAAATTCAAAATTCATGTCCACATTGTTTTTACGGCATTGTTTTTACTTCTTCGAGGAAAAGGTCAATGATTCTTCACATACTTATATGAGCCAGATGAATTCAAGCGTTTTATGAAAAAGAGGCGACCGCTTTCATTCGTCCATCTTCGATTAAACTTTAGGTTGGTATATGTTTAATGGAGAGGAACTCCTCCAGCCTGCCTGGCATCAGACATGTACCTAAATTTGTGTTATGCGAAATGGTCAAACCATGAATGCACACAATAAACATAATAACCATCAATTGACAAAAGACGTCTAACCCTCCCCGTCCCGACTTCAGCTGATTCTGACGGTACTCACGTCCCGGCGTGTCCGTGTGCACGAGGGGACCGTGCTGCGCGCGATGCGCACCTGCTACGACATCCACGTGACCAGCAGGAGCGCCGTGTGCCAGACGGCCGCCAGAGCCACGCTCACAAAGGTGCGGTCACGCCGCGTGCCGGGTCGACTGTTTACCTGATAATGTGTTTATGGTGGATAACGGACATTTTTTTTTTGTAAATCCATAGTGGCATGCCATCACTTATTTCTTTCATATGCATTTTAAAATGGCGAGGTACTTGGAAACATATTCATTTTAATGATTTGCCTTATTTCTTTTGGACTTCGGCAATAGTTTATGTTGCTCCTGGATTCGACAACTAATTATACTGCGTGTCCACTATGTCGCAGTTTATCAACGTGCTTTTCATGCGACTGGAGGAGCCAGAGACCGCCGATCGAGGCACCAGAGCAGACAGCTCCTCGGATGACTATTCAGGCGTCGAGACACCATCTTCAACCTCTGAGCGAGACCTATCTCCGATTGACGACTGCTCTAGTACCACGGGCTGGGAGGATTCTGCAGGCGACTGGCCGGCCGCCGCAGCTGGAGACAGGCGCAGGTCCGGCGCAGCGTCACCACGAGACCCGGCCGGCGGACCAGAGACGGGCGCCGAGCTGCTGCCCCGCTCCGTCGTGGACGAACTGGTAGACGGCTCGGCGAGCTCGGGTGAGCCAGATGAGGGATGGTGGACTGATGTGTAGGATGGGTTTGAGTCAGATCATGACTTGGCATCAATTGGTTGAAGAACAAACCACTGACACGTTGTCTTGTCTCATGTTCATTAGCTTTTTTCATCGTCAACCCACCCTATCCCTCTGCACTTTCCAGAGACCGATACCGATGGTGACAGTACGGATGGTGCCTCCGTGAGCAGTGACCTGCGGGACACCAGTTCCGAGCCAGGCTCCGACCGATCCTCCAGCTGTGACATGTCCAGACTCAGCTGGCCACTCTCACAGGTAACCGAACAGCTACTGCTCCATCACTATTCACTACCCAGTACCCCGTGTCCACAACGGGGAACATGCCATTCGGAAAAAGCATTTTATGCTTAGTTTGAATACTATCGATGACCGTCACATACCTAAGCTGAAAATTGTCCAGCTAGTTAGTGGTCGCCACTGCATGGCTCGCATTTCCATGCGTTCCTCATCCGATGTGCATTGTGCAATGTGCATTGTTCATCCAATATAACATTAATGAGTAGTTAAGAGCGCATCTCACTATCACATGCGTTCTCTGATGGGCAGGAGAGTGATGACGTCAGCGAGGCCGAACAAGGGACGTCAGAGTTCCTGGACAAACGTGATAAAGACGCATTCTTTGTTTTCCGAGCTCTGTGTACGTTTTCTATGAGGCCTCTACCTGAAGAAAGACTCGACCTCAAGTAAGTACCCAGCACTGACGCCATCGCTAACAGGCAGCGAGCCCGCTAAAACCGTCCTCTTGTAAGCTTGCAACTATCTTACTTTCTTTCTCACACATTATATATTTTAGCTCCATATCTTCAAAAATGGCCAAGTTGTCCACTTTTGCATTTGATCGTAATCAATTATGCACCATTATCAATGACTAATAACATAGCACTATTGTGTTCCTGAGCTCAACTGCATCCAATAGCCATGTTTTTCGTTGAAAGCCTTCAGCTTCAAAATTTGACCTTTTTGACCTGACCGTAAGCTGAACTTCGCTATAATCAGGCGAAAATGGCTTCGGACGGTACAAGCACTAATTTCGAATTATATGTCCAAAATGGACCATGAGCATTGAGCATGATTCATATGACTTACCTTACAAATCTTAAAAGTTCCGTAGTCGTTTGTGACCTAGCCTGACCTAGCTTTGACTTGAAGTACCTATACCAAACACAAATTCGTTACACACAGGGTATTTTCAGCAAACATTTATGAGTGTTTCAGCCAAATATGAGGAAAGTCGGACCAGTGATTTTGGAGATAGGATGGTGTGGGTGGGTGAGGGAGGGGGGGGGGGGGCTCGCATTGTGGAATATACCCCTGTCATGCGCGGGTTGAGAAAAGGTGACATTTAATAAAAGTTGATAAATTATATTCAAAATCGGTTGATTTCTCATCCAATGTCCTTGATATGCGATCGCTGGCTATACGAAATGCTAATTATACGCCCGCTGTCTTTCAGTAGGTACACCTGCCAATGGTTACCGCCGGCGCCATAAAATAAAATTGAATACTGCGTTTAACTCGAATTTTGTCAGGCTCCCGGTTTATCATGGAAGATGTTGTTATACTGAGTGCTGACTGCTGAGTATTCTGAGTTCAAATGTCGGCTCCTCTAACCCGCGACGTGCTGGCCTAAACAACACAGCATGCTGAGTTCGGCGTAACACTTGGCGTAGGTAAAACTGGCTTGCCTTCTGAAATTTAAATGTTCATGCCACGTGCTGAACAGAGAACTTGTATTGCTATGAATTGCCTTTTATTGTCCTAGACATGGTCTATAATGTCCTTGGTCACATGCTCTGAGCACTGAAAAATACACTGAACATAATATAATATAAAGCATAATATAATATAAAGCAGTTCACATGATCATGCTGTTTTGCAGGTTGCGTGTGCACTGTGCAGGGACAATTTGCCATGTACGTTGCATATGAATATCACCGGTTCATGTTTTCGTGGGTGCTGCATGCTGAGTGTTACGACATACATATAAGGCAGATATAACTATTGTTTTGTTAGAAAGGTTGGCTGTAGTAACCATACAAAAAAAAAAAAACACCAAACGTGTTTTTATGATGAAGCGAAGGCCACTGCCCAGTGCCCATATCAAGATATTAGTATGCCTACCCTACAGCTCATGGAGGTAAACTGTCAAATAAATATATGTATTATTGCTTGCTAATTAACTAACCTAAGCGTGATAAGGACACTGTCGTAGTACTAATAGCTTATTTCAAATAATAGGCCACGTGAAGAGATATACCGTCAAATACCGGAATGGAGTTTGACGGTCACATTCATTTTTTGCATATTAGCGGTCACGTCACGTAAACGTTTCTTCCATATACCTATCCTTTTTTAGGCATCCGTTGGCCACAAAACTTCATCTGTGCTTGATCCCCGAACGATTTGTCTCGGAGCCATAGTTTAATGAATGGTGTTTTCTATCTTTTCTATTGCATTATGTCGGAGCCAAGGAAGCTCAGGTCCTGCTCAGGTCAGCTCAGGTGACCGTGGCAGACCAGCTGCCCTCGACACATTCCACGTGCGCCCCTGCCGGCAGGTCCCCCGAGCTGCGCTCCAAGGTGCTGTCGCTGGAGCTGCTGCTGTCCATCCTGCAGTCGCCCGGCCGCGCGTTCACCTCCAGCGAGATGTTCATCTCGGCCATCAGACAGTACCTGTGCGTGGCGCTCTCCAAGAACGGCGCCTCCTCGGTGCCCGAGGTGTTCCAGCTGAGCCTGGCTATCTTCCTGGCGCTGCTGGCCAACTTCAGACAGCACCTCAAGAAACAGATCGAGGTGCGCACGAACAAGGCTCAAGTGGGCTAAATCGAAACACCAGTCCCTTGTTCGTACAACGTATTAATCAATCGCAGCACATCGTTGCATCCAAATCTTTCTAAGATAAAGTAAAATCTCTTCGTGCAAAACCGTAATCGTTACAATCCATAATCGCTCATCATTAAAAAGGACATGTCATCATTTAAAACCTGTTGCCACACTTGAAGTCTCGAGTTTTTGCTTTTAATGGTTGTTCTTCATTATTCAACTGTACAAGCTCACACTTAATCTACACAGGTCTTCTTCAACGACATTATCCTGACCCTGCTGGAGACGCCGAGCTCGTCGTTCGAGCACAAGTGGCTGGTGGTGCAGGCGCTGACGCACGTCTGCGCCGACGCCCAGAGCGTGGTCGACATCTACGTCAACTACGACTGCCACTTCGCCTCGGCCAACGTGTTCGAGCGACTGGTAGTCGACCTCAGCAGGCTGGCGCAGGGTCGTCAGGTGGGAGCTCATAGCAGTAAATAAAATCAAATAATCCCGACGTGTGTGCTTACTACTTGCTGGTGGCAAGTCAAATTTCCGCAAGAAAGTTATCGGGAAACACTACAGTGTGCGGCGACGGGCGAACAATGCCATATTGCACCTAAATCCTTTTTGATACTTTTCCAAAGCACTATTCCTTTTTTTTGGAAAACGAAACATGAAGCGTGGCTAGGCGCCAGCGAATCAGCATGACTGCACTTTATATGACTGCACTTTATCATCGACGAGCGTCACGCAGCGCCGAACGGTTCGGATTGCTGCCTGTAATGTTTAAAACAGCTCTCTATAATCCACCACGCATATGACACAGTTCAACAGTATTAACTGTGGATCCCCTTACCGGCAGGTGGGCCTAACCGCCGCCCAGGAGCGCAGCATCCGACTGAGGGCGCTCGAGTGCCTGGTCGGCCTGCTGAAGTGTATGGTGGAGTGGAGCCGCGAGTTTAGCACCGGCATCCAGTCACCCGCCTGCTCCGGCCTCGGTAGGTCCACAGTCGCATTACGAAACCGCCCCAGCTCATGTGTAGGAAGTTACGTAAACGCAACTCGAGCTTCGTACAGTTACGTAAAAAGAGGCCGCACCCGATTGATAGATATGGACGACAACAAATTGGTGAATTAATTCAGCAACAGTATACCTCCCAAACACGTCTCATGGCTGATATAATGACACAGAACACGCAAATAGTTCGTAAATGCATGAACAAGACGTTCATAGTAACAGTCAATGTGTTGTGTGGGTGAATTGAACCCGGTGACCTTTCTAACCTGCATTTATAATGTTTAAGGTTAGCAATTTCTTTAAGCGTTAAGAGTCTTTCGGTATTTAAGCGTTTCCACTTTGCCCCCTTTTCAAGGATATGATCCATAGAAACTCGCGTGTCCTGGTTCAGCTTTCAGAGCTGCGAACATACTTGACAGGAGATCCACAAATCAATCACTGCCAGGAACGTGGTCGTTGTTGCGACCACCAAGTCTTACTGAGGTTTCTCTTTTCTCAGGTCTTGCACTGACAGACATGTATAAATATTAACTGTGTGTGCTTGAACTGACAAGCTGGCATGATGAGATGGCATGCTGAGACTGCTATGCTGAGACTGGCATGAACTGGGAGCGGAAACTTCGGTAACGCTTTACTTTGCATATGATCTACTTTTTCATATGTTTGCTTATCATTGGTTGTTGCCATCTTCATTTTCTCTTTTTCTGTCAATGGTCATCGCTCATTAACTTCTGTGTCATTGACTGTGTTATGTGCTGTCTCTGCTTGCAGAAACCCCACTTTGCTGCATGCGCGCAAGGCTGTGTTTTGTGCCATTCCTTCTGTTTCTATCTTTTTCCTTTGTTTGCCTTTCAATGTATCCTTCCCTTTATGTCTTTCATTTTTGTGTACAATAAAGCGTTCAACGTACAGAAGCATGTGGGAGTACAAAGACCGCTACAGTTTCGAAGTCCGTGTTGGACATTGAAGTCTCATACCTACAAGGATCAGCTCATCTCTCTGCTGCTCAGTCTGTTGAATCTCATTGTACAAAATGGATGTTAAGTCGCTGAAAGGTGCCAGGGCTAAGAAGCTGGGAAACCTGACCAGGATCAGGAGACGTGCCTTCATCATCATCGATGCAAAGGGAAGCCGAACCCAGCTAAGCGAACTATTGAAGGATCTGGATCAGGCCTTGGAGGCAATTCAGGAGGTGAATGAGCAGTATGTGTCATTGCTGACAGAAGACGTGGAGCTTGAATCAGCTGCAGTATACATGAAGGATGTAGAGAAACAACATGAGGATGCTGTTAGCAGAATTGAAGAGCATTTGATCAGCCGGAAGGACGAGGCACCATCTGTGGCATCTGGCAGCCATGTCTCCAATTCCAAGTCCACGGCATCTGACAGAGCCAGGATTGCGGCAAAGGTAAAGCGTCTTGAAGCCGAGCAACTTGGACAACGGCTGGAGTTGCAAAAGCAAGAACAGGAAATACAGAGGAAACTTCAGCTACAGGCGGCAGAGGACGCCAGAGCAGCTGCTGAACTCGAGGCCCAGCTTCTGTGCGCCGCAGAGACTGGGGATGATCTTAACAGGGATCGGATGGATGACTTTGTTGGAGAACCCGCGGCTCAGCTTCCCACTGACTGTCCTGGGCTGGATCGTGGCTCTGCTGTGGAACCTGCGACACTGGGTTCAGACCTTCCCCATTGTCTCAATGTACCAAGTGATCGTTCTGAACGCCCCCATCCTGATCAGTGTCCTGTTGCAGCTGGTGTAGCTGACGCTGCTGTGACCAGTGCTGGTGTCAATGTACCCACTCGGAATGGGAATGAGCTTACCACTGATGGAGCCAACCAGCATCCAGGTGCTTCTCAACTACAAACCCGTGGTGTTTCAGAACCGCTGCTTCACTGTGCCCTTCCCCGACTCACACTTCCGAAGTTTGATGGTAATCCGGGAGAGTGGGTGAAGTGGTTTGCGCTCTTTCGCACCCTGGTACATGATCAGGAGATGCTGACGCCCACTGAAAAGATGATTCATCTTCAGTCTGCAGTAACCGGATTGGCGCAACAGACCATAAAGGGGCTGCTGTATGATGGGAATTTGTACGGTGAGGCGATCAAGATGCTCCAGGAAAGATTCGGCAGACAGGAGGACATTGTGAGCTCAACTCTGGAGAAGGTGTTTGCATGTCCCTCTCCTTCGCTGCAGGACCCGATCAGCCTAGAAAGATTCCAGTCCACAATCCATTGCGCCATAGCTGTGTTTGAAAGTATGAAATACGATGGGGACCTGAACAGTTTTGAGAATCTGAGGCGTGTCGTGCAAAAGCTGCCTTCAGATCTCATGAAAAGGTGGAGTGAACATGTTCTGAGTCTCGAGCCTGCAAGACCCAGTCTTCTGCACCTGGATTCCTGGTTGCGCAGGCAAGTCGGGATAGCCCTGAACTATGCTGCTGTCTCCAAGCAGCCTGGCAGGCAGCCAACAGGAAGGAGTGCCAACGAGGGGAGGAAACAAGGAGGCGCCATGGAACGGACAGTCCAGCGAACGGCACTGGTGACGGAGGCTCAGCACATGGCGGGCAAGGTCTGCATCTGCTGTGAAGCTCTCCATGACGTAACAACCTGTCCCACGTTCCTCAGCAAGCCTGTGGACGAGAAAGCCATCCTTGTCTCCAAGTCCGGAGCATGCTTCTTCTGCCTGAGGAAAGGTCATGCAGTCAGACATTGTCGTTTTGCAAAACGATGTAGCATCGAGGGTTGCAAGATGAAGCATCACAGGCTGCTGCATGGCAGCAAGAGGGTCGGCATTCAGTCCAGTAGCCAGGTGCCAGGCTCTGAGCTGGACGGACAGCGAGTGGTTGCTGCCGCATCTCTGGGTGGCAAGCCTGTAACAACTCTCCTGCAGGTGGTGCAGGTCACTATTGTCGGCAAAGGTGGTAAGACCAGGAAGGTGTGTGCGCTCCTTGATCCTGGCTCTCAGACGTCCCTGGTTGCAGAGGATGTTGTTGAAGAACTTGGTCTGGAGGGAGAGCAGCAGACACTTCGGCTGCGAAACGTGGAAGGCAGTGGCTCCCAGCAGAGGACGAGGAGGTTGCAGTTGCAGCTGATCACTGACGGAGATGAAGGCTACGCAGTTGTAGTGCCGGAAGCCTTCTCAGTGAAGGAAATCAATCTGACGGTGCCTCACTTCCCAGTGAAGCACTGGCATCATGTCCAGGGCCTGAAGCTACCGGACTGCCGTGGACGGAAGGTAGAGCTCCTCTTAGGGGCTAACGTCATCGAGGCAGTTCTCCAGCTCGAGGTGAGGACAGGAAACCCAGGGGATCCTGTAGCAATCAGGACTGTCTTCGGTTGGACGCTCACCGGATCTGTGGCTGAGCTTGTTCCCAGACAGGTGCGAGATGTGATGTTGATTCATCGGGCCACTGAGGAATCGGATCTTTGTGATGCTGTGAAGGATTTCTGGGCTACTGAGTCGTTCGGCAGTATGTTTGAAGGGCAAGTGTCTCGTTCACGTGATGACATCCGAGCGCAGGCTACTCTCAACGAGATGACAAAGCTGCGAGATGGTCACTATGAGGTCGGATTGCTGTGGAAGGAAGACGGCGTGAAGATGCCTGACAACAGGAAGATGGCCGAGAGAAGACTGCAATCGTTGGAGAGGAGCCTGTCTCGTGACCCAGCAAAAGCTGCCGCTTATGAAGACGTTCTGATGGGCTATGTGACGAAGAACTACGCCCGCAAAGTGTCACCGGAGGAGCTGGCCAGGCCCAGCGAAAAGAGATGGCTGCTCCCCCATCACGCGGTAAGCAACCCGAACAAGTCGAAAGTCCGCGTAGTGTTCGACGCCGCTGCCCGCTGTGAAGGGATCTCCCTCAACGATGCCCTCATCACCGGCCCTGATCTCCTGCAAAGTCTGGTTGGTGTTCTGATCAGGTTCAGACAGGAGAGAGTGGCGCTCGTGGCCGATGTGGAAGCAATGTTCCACCAAGTGCGGGTGAGAGTGGAGGACCAGCCGGCGCTGAGCTTCTTGTGGCGGCACATGGATAGGAGCAGACCTCCAGATACATATCAAATGATGGTCGTCATATTTGGCGCCCGATGTAGCCCGACCCTAGCCAACTACGCTCTACGAAGAACGGCGGAGGACCATGAGGAGGACACAGATGAGTCGAGAGCCACTGTTGAATCTGTCAAGCGCAACTTCTACATGGATGACCTGCTCGTTTCGGTTCCAGATGTAGAACAGGCGAGGAAGATGTGTACGAACGTGACTGAGCTGGTGGCCAAGGGCGGTTTCCGTTTGACGAAGTGGACCACGAACAAACCAGAAGCTCTCCAAGGTGTCCCAGCTGATGAAATGAGTGCATCCGGGCTCGACTTGGCGCATCTCGGCCAGGGCACTCAGCGTGCTCTGGGATGCGTCTGGAGGCCTGGTAGCGATGCTCTCGGCGTGAAGGTAACAGACATGGACGTCCCAGCTACCAAGCGTGGCGTTCTAAGAAGACTGTCTATGGTCTTCGACCCTATTGGAATCGTCTCTCCGTTTGTTCTCAGGGCCAAGCTGCTCGTCCAGCACCTCTGGAAGCTGAAGCTCGACTGGGACTGCCAGCTGAGCGGAGAAGAACTCCTGGCTTGGGAGAACTGGTTGTCGGAGATGCCTCATCTCGAGACCATCGAGATCCAGCGATGCTACGCGGCTGATGTTCCGCCGGATGGTGAAGTCACAGGTCGAGAGCTTCACATCTTTTGTGACGCATCCCAAAAGGCCTTTGGTGCAGTCGCATACCTCAGGATGTCATGTGCCGACGGCACGAAGACCACCTCCTTCATCATGTCACGGACTCGTCTCGCTCCCTTGAAGCAATTGACAATTGTTCGCCTTGAGCTGCAGGCTGCTGTGTTGGGGGTGAGGCTGGCCAACTTCGTCAAAGGAGAGCTCACGTGCAGTCTCGATGAAATCTTCCTGTGGACCGACAGCTCTGTGGTGCTGCGGTTCTTAAGAAACGAAAGTCGTCGGTTCCACACTTTCGTCGCCAACAGGATCGCAGAAATACAAGATTCATCAGAGACTGAGCAGTGGCACCATGTTCCCGGTGAGCTCAATCCAGCAGACGTTTGCTCTCGCGGGATGTCAGGCCCGGACCTCCAGACATGCTCACTGTGGTGGTCGGGCCCCGAGTTCTTGACCAAGGATCGTGAAGAATGGCCTCCGGAACGCGTCACGTCAACGCAAAGCGCAGAAGACGCAGAAATGAAGACTCCAAATGAAGCAGTATTTGCAGCACAGAGCAGCGAGGGGCCACTGGTGGATCCTTCCCGGTACTCATCGTGGGTGAAGTACAAACGCACGGTGGCTTGGGTGCTGCGATTCTGCGAGAACGCCAGGCGGAGTAAAGACAGCCGTGTAAGTGGAGCTCTTACGTCGGCTGAGGTCCAGTCAGCTGAGGTGTTCGTCCTCAGAGAGCTCCAACGGGCGGCGTACCATGCCGAACTGCAAGCTGTCGCCAGTGGATCTCGGCTGCCGAAGGACAGCACGCTTCTCCATCTCTCCCCGTATGTCGACGAGCGGGGACTGCTCCGAGCGAGGGGACGTCTCCGTAATGCCCCACTGGCTGAGACCTGTCGTCATCCTCTCCTCATCAGTAGGAACGATGACGTGATCAGACTGATCGTCACCGATGTCCACAGACGGGCACTGCACGCAGGTCTGGAGCAGACGCTCAGTGAACTGCGGCTTCACTACTGGATACCCAAGGCAAGATCAGTAACAAGAAAGCTCATCTACAACTGTGCGTACTGCAGGAGGAGAAGTGCGCAGCCCCCGACTCCAATGATGGCGGACCTACCGGCGAGTCGGTTTGACATGTCTCGACCGTTTGCATGTGTTGGCCTTGACTACTGTGGCCCACTCCCCGTTCGGAAGTTCCGCAAGACCGAAAAGCGCTATGTGCTGCTCATCACCTGCCTGGCGACGCGTGCGTTGCACTTGGAGCTTGTGAGCTCGATGGATACAGATGGGTTCCTCATGGCCCTCCGGCGCTTCTTTGCCCGCCGGGGGCGTCCGCGTGTCATTTGGTCAGATAATGGCACGAATCTGGTCGCAGGTGAAAAGGACCTCAGGAGTTGTCTGGATGCGTGGAATCAGGCACAGATCACCGACGAACTTAGTCAGCGACACATCGAGTGGCGTTTTAACCCTCCCACCGCCAGCCACATGGGCGGTGTTTGGGAGAGGTTGGTGGCGATGGTCAAACGCGCTTTGCGAGTGGTGTTGGGCAACCAGTGTGTCAGTGAGGACGTACTGCACACCGCGCTGGTGGAAGTAGAATTCACCATCAACAGTCGCCCACTCACTTACGTGAGTTCGGACATCAATGACCCTGAGCCTCTCACGCCCAACCATTTCGTTCTGGGTAGCCCTCAGGCTGCCTTTCCTCCAGGGATGTTCACTGATGGTGATGCGTTGGGTCGAGGGAAATGGCGGCAATCCCAGGTTCTGGCCAACCAGCTCTGGCGCCGCTGGCAGCGTGAATACCTGCCCATGCTCATCCAGAGGAAGAAATGGGTTCATGAAGATCGTGATCTGCAAGTTGGAGATATCGTGCTCATGGTCGAGCAAGGGTCACCACGAGGATACTGGCCGCTGGCCAAGGTCACGGAAGTTTCTCCGGGAGATGATGGTCGTGTCCGGACTGTGACAGTGCAGACCTCCAGCGGATCTACCTATCGACGACCAGCGAACAAGATATGCTTTTTAGAAAGCTGCGTTCAGGGAAGAAACTGAGCAAACGGCCGTGAAAGCGAGAATGAAAGTCAAGAAGAGTGAAAGTTCTGTGCTAGGCGCTGTTTATCCTAGCCCTATTCAAGTACCGTCCTGCCCCCTGTCTTACCTGTTAAACAGTACCTCATCCATTGGCACTGACACGATGCGCCCAGCGTACTGCTCGATGCTCGACCTGGAGAAGGCTCGGGCTGCTGACGTACTGCATGGCCGCGTCCTGGAGCTGAGGGGTGGCGGCGTGCTGCGCTGGACCTGTGATCGGCTGTGTGCTCGGGACTGGTTCCGAGACCTGGCCCGCCACCGACGGGGTCTCCTGAGCTCTGGCCGCTGAGCGGAGGATGCGAGGCTGGGGAGAGACGTCTGCCTGGCGAGGGCGACTGCGTGAGCTGCTCGGGCGAACGCTGAGTGGAGAGGTGTAGCGGATGATGGACTCTATAGTTTGCGCACGGTTTCGGCGTTACGGTTCGCCGGCGCGGTGCGTCTGTACGATATCTGAGTGACTGGCCGGAGAACGGGCAGGTGACCAAGGCCCAGGTGACAGTGCATGGAGGCTGAGTGCTGGACGCTAAAGCTGCTGTGCGATATCTGCTTTTCTCTGAAATGTGCAGTGCTTGACGCGTGCGTTCGTGCGTATTTTGAGTTAATGTGTCTAGCGTAAGTTTTCGGCGGTCATTGAGCTGAACGGTGAATAATCAACGATGGTCGCTCCAGTTAGTGTTCTCCTCAGGCCTAGGATAAGCACTGGGGGGAGTGTTGCGACCACCAAGTCTTACTGAGGTTTCTCTTTTCTCAGGTCTTGCACTGACAGACATGTATAAATATTAACTGTGTGTGCTTGAACTGACAAGCTGGCATGATGAGATGGCATGCTGAGACTGCTATGCTGAGACTGGCATGAACTGGGAGCGGAAACTTCGGTAACGCTTTACTTTGCATATGATCTACTTTTTCATATGTTTGCTTATCATTGGTTGTTGCCATCTTCATTTTCTCTTTTTCTGTCAATGGTCATCGCTCATTAACTTCTGTGTCATTGACTGTGTTATGTGCTGTCTCTGCTTGCAGAAACCCCACTTTGCTGCATGCGCGCAAGGCTGTGTTTTGTGCCATTCCTTCTGTTTCTATCTTTTTCCTTTGTTTGCCTTTCAATGTATCCTTCCCTTTATGTCTTTCATTTTTGTGTACAATAAAGCGTTCAACGTACAGAAGCATGTGGGAGTACAAAGACTCGTAAAGTTGTACATCTGACACGAAACGTGCAGTTGGACCGACACACGACAGTCGACACTTGTGCGCCAGATCAGGATATCGGTTAGCGATAGCCATTCATTGATGCGCTTCTCTAAAAGCATTGAAAAACATACCCTCCTAAAATGCATCTCTGTACGGCAGATATTCATACTTGTCATAAGGCCAAGTTGACTCTGATACTCGTTAACACAGTCACAGCCGTCGGCAGATTCGGAGCGGGACTGGACCGAGGAGCCGGCCCCGGCCACCCCCGGCACCCTGTCCACACGCGGCAGCGAACTCAGCCTCTCAGACCATACACCGGAGGCGTACGAGTCGCTCAAGCAGATCAAGGACACCTGGGAGCAGGGCATCGACATGTGAGTCGCCCTGTTCTGCCCTCACCGACAGCCGATTGTTTTCAGATGTTTTTACCGTTGCCCGGCTGGATACTGTATCGCTTGCACGCAATTTCTCTGGAACTGCATGACTCGGGCGATCCGTGAGCTGTCCTTGCCAGGCAACACGAAACCGTCCATGTTCAGCGTTTTCGACGCTGTTTACCGTTGTCTAACATTTCGTGACGCCTACACATTCCCGAAAACAGGTCTCCATAAATATCACTAGCCTTTACCATTCGGTGACATAACTTCTCGGTAGAGATCAGACGATAAGATTCCGTCTTCACAGTGTTTGTGAGCTAGACAATCGACTTGGCCCGGTCACAGTGTGATTCGTGTTCATCGTGTAAAAAAAAAAAAAATAGGTAAGTCGATAACGACGTGGCCATCGGTAATCAGGAGTTGTTTACAAAACGGCGGAACGGTCAGACAAAATAACCCAAGGTCCATGCAACGGTGAAAGCAAAGGATCACACGTCGAAGTAACTAGATAGTCCTTTTGGCTATTTATCGAGGTCTTGTAAATATTGTTTTACACCCAAACCTTTTGACACCCAGACTTTAAGCACATACTTTAAAAGCAATCTTATTTTTATATATAATAATATCAGGCTTATCAATAAGCACTAATTAATTATCAAAGCACAAATTCTAGCCCTCTCATATATAATCCAGCACTTTGCTGTCAGACCGGCCATGACGGAAGCAGTTCAAGTGAGTTTTCACTGACTCACTGTGTCTCATCCCAAAGGTTTAATCGGAAGCCGAAGCGCGGCCTGGCGTTCCTGCAGCGTCAGGGTCTCCTGAAGGACACACCGGACTCGATCGCGGCGTTTTTCCACGAGGATCACCGGCTAGACCGGACCGTGCTGGGAGACTTCCTCGGCGAGCCCGACCAGCAGCAGGTCAGCAGCAGGAGAGGCCAGGGGGCCAGGGCCAGCGGCTGGTCAGCAGCAGGAGAGGCCAGGGGGCCCGACCAGCAGCAGGTCGGTAGCAGCAGGAGAGGCCAGGGGGCCAGGGCCAGCGGCTGGTCAGCAGCAGGAGAGGCCAGGGGGCCCGACCAGCAGCAGGTCGGTAGCAGCAGGAGAGGCCAGGGGTTAGGGCCAGCGGCTGGTCAGGAATGATTCAAGGGAGCCATGATCCAAGGGTCAAAACTCGGAGGCTAGTGTCAGGCGTTAAGGCTGACGGGTTGTTGCACAGTTCGAAGACAAATTGTGCAGGTCTGCGCGGTTCACCAGCGCGGCGGTTGACAGCTGAGAGCATCAAACGCCTAACCGCTCCCATCCTTGCGTGTCCATTCTCTCCAGGTGATGGAAGCGTACGTGGATCGTCTGGACTTTGTCGGCTGCGAATTTCTGGCGGCACTACGCCAGTTCCTGGACGGTTTCAGACTCCCAGGCGAGGCGCAGAAGATCGATCGACTGATGGAAAAGTTCGCGAGCAAATACTGCGAGTGCAATCCCGAGTGAGTGCTGTACTGGCACGCAAGTGTAGTGAGAAGCGAAACACTTAACTCATTGTAGCGAAATTTTAGTCGCAGTCGTGCATCGTGATAGCCCATAATGAAAAGGGATTGTCTGAAATAACACTTGAAAGTGCTTTATGTTCTGACACTAAAAATAGAAATTATTAGTTCAGCAGTATGAATGCTAATTCTGAACATCGCTAAAACATTTCAATAAACAGCATAATCAATATCGCAGACAATTGAAAAGTATACATAATCTGTTCGCAGCCAGGAGTTGTTCACCAGTCCAGACACAGCCTACGTGCTGGCATTTTCCATCATCATGCTGACTACTGATCTGCACAGCGCCCATGTCAAGGTACGAGAAACTGCATTTTCCCCATTATGGCATTGAGGGACTGACGATTTACAAAGGGTATATGAAGATGAAGTAACGGTATCGTTTTCGATATCATGCTCCCCCTCTCTCGCAGCACAAAATCACCATGGAGCAGTACATCCGGATGAACCGCGGGATCAACGGCGGAGAGGACCTGCCGCCTCTCTACCTGACGAGAATATACGACGACATCGCCGGCAACGCCATCAAGATGAGGGTCATACCGTGCGCCAGACCTGGCAGACAGGGTCAGTAGCCTGTAACCCTGCTAAATAATATCGAGCTAAGGTTGCGACGAAATTTTAGTTTAAATATCAACTTGTTTTTTATGTGGCAAGACAAGTGACATTTAATTATTCTGTAACACTTCATATAATGAAAAGGCGAGGGTAACATCCAATACCATCCTCGAGGGGTGCGGGTTGAGGCTCTGCGACTCGTTTCCCGACCGGCACCATAAACTGTACCGGCAGTGGCCCAGAACGAGAAGCAGCGCCGGCTCCTGTTCAACCTGGAGATGGAGCAGATGTCGATGGCGGCCAGGTCGCTGATGGAGGCCGCCAGCCACGTGCAGGCCGAGTTCACGTGCGCCACGCACGTGGAGCACGTGCGGCCCATGTTCCAGCTGGCCTGGGCGCCGGTGCTGGCGGCGTTTAGCACGGGCCTGCAGGACGGCGAGGGCGCCGAGGTGGACGACCTCTGTCTGGACGGCGTCCGCTGCGCCATCCACATCGCCTGCGTGTTCCAGATGCAGGTACGGGCTCCCTGCGTGTTCCAGATGCAGGTACGGGCTCCCTGCGTGTTCCAGATGCAGGTACGGGTTCCCTGCGTGTTCCAGATGCAGGTACGGGCTCCCTGCGTGTTCCAGATGCAGGTAAGGGCTCCCTGCGTGTTACAGATGCAGGTACGGGCTCCCTGCGTGTTACAGATGCAGGTACGGGCTCCCTGCGTGTTACAGATGCAGGTACGGGCTCCCTGCGTGTTCCAGATGCAGGTACGGGCTCCCTGCGTGTTCCAGATGCAGGTACGGGTTCCCTGCGTGTTCCAGATGCAGGTACGGGCTCCCTGCGTGTTCCAGATGCAGGTAAGGGCTCCCTGCGTGTTACAGATGCAGGTACGGGCTCCCTGCGTGTTACAGATGCAGGTACGGGCTCCCTGCGTGTTACAGATGCAGGTACGGGCTCCCTGCGTGTTCCAGATGCAGGTAAGGGCTCCCTGCGTGTTACAGATGCAGGTACGGGCTCCCTGCGTGTTCCAGATGCAGGTAAGGGCTCCCTACGTGTTCCAGATGCAGGTACGGGCTCCCTGCGTGTTCCAGATGCAGGTACGGGCTCCGTGTGTTCCAGATGCAGGTACGGGCTCCCTGCGTGTTCCAGATACAGGTAAGGGCTCCCTACGTGTTCCAGATGCAGGTACGGGCTCCCTGCGTGTTCTAGATGCAGGTACGGGCTCCCTGTGTGTTCCAGATGCAGGTACGGGCTCCCTGCGTGTTCCAGATGCAGGTAAGGGCTCCCTACGTGTTCCAGATGCAGGTACGGGCTCCCTGTGTGTTCCAGATGCAGGTACGGGCTCCCTGCGTGTTCCAGATGCAGGTAAGGGCTCCCTGCGTGTTCCAGATGCAGGTAAGGGCTCCGTGCGTGTTACAGATGCAGGTACGGGCTCCCTGCGTGTTCCAGATGCAGGTACGGGCTCCTTGCGTGTTCCAGATGCAGGTAAGGGCCCACTGCCTGTTCCAGATGCAGGTATAGACTGCAACAGTTGGGGTCCGCCACGGCTGGCTCCCAAACAACCCACACTATTGCGAAGCCAAGGTTATTAAAGGTTACACTCTCAAGCACAATCACACCCACAAGGTAATGTCTAAATTAAGAAAAAGCTACGCCCTTGTATGGAGCTATTCATCGTGTCCCTCTCGCCACATCATGCCTCCTCCATCCCACAGATGGAGCGTGACGCCTACCTACAGACGCTGGCCCGTTTCGCCCTGGCCTCCGCCAGCGCCGGCGACGCCGAGATCAAGGCCAGGGACATGGACACGGTCAAGATGCTGATCCTGCTGGCGCTGCGGGACGGCAACTTCCTCAGCCGGCCGTGGCCGGAGATGCTGCGCTGTATAGCACAGATGGAGGAAGCCCACCTCAGCGGAGTCGGATGGCCGGCCCAGCAGGAGGGAGGGCTGGCCAGAGAGACGGCAGAGCTGACACAGCGGAACGCCGGGACTCCCAACGGTGGGTGCAGGGAGCGAGCGTCAGACTGGGTAAAACGGCGAGGGAGAGGCAGAACTGGCTGGATAAGTCACGAATGGTGATGGAAATGTGTTGAATGGATCCTGCACGCTTCAAACTATCGTTTCTACAAACATCGCGTACCACAGACACTCCAACAAAGTAAACGTTCATATACGCCTGGGACTCCCTCCTTCGAGTTCGATCGTAAGTTGTCAATCGATCTATGTCTCGCTGGCCCGTTCTCAGAGCCCGTTCTCAGCCCTCTCCCCTCTTCCGCTTTCTCTTACAGGCTCCGATTCCACCCGCAGGTCCCCTGGCAGTCGAGCTCAGCCCGGACCTGCGGTCCGCCCTCTGACAGCCTCCGATTCCACCCGCAGGTCCCCTGGCAGTCGAGCTCAGCACGGACCGGCGGCCTCCCCGGCCGCTGCAGCTGTCGCCGTCACAGCAGCGACTGTCGTTCTTCCCTCTGTTCAGATGATCCGCGCAGGCTCCTCCGACCTGCCGTGATCGCCAACCCAGCTCCGAGCTGAAGATGGAACGGGTGTTATTGAGAGCAGCTATAGTCCCGCTGAGTCTGACTGTTGGTGTCATGGCACGCCGTGGCTGTCGTACCTGAGTCAAGCCTCAGAAAGTCAGAAGTAATCACGACAAAGGCTGGGACTGTCCGGACTGTAGTGAATGACCCTAGCTCTAGTCTCGCCTCTCGGGCAAAAGAGAGTGAGCTTGCGTGACTGAATATAGCTGGGTCTAGACTACCGTGACTGAGCCAAGCTGTGCGTTGGGTTTCGGGACTGAGAATGGTTGCGCCTCGTCTGCACTGACTGGGAAATGGCATAGCTGTATTATTGAGTCTAGCTGGACTAGGCTGCCATAACTAAGCCTAGCTGTGCCTAGGACACCGTCGGGACTGAGCCTGGACGCGTATACGTTGCTCTGTCCTATAATCGATAGGCCCAGGCTGTCGTGACTGGGCACAACTGTGCCTTGGCTGTTGTGATAGAGGTCAGCTCTGTCCACGTCGTGACTGCATGTAGCTGTACGTTAGCCGCCGTGACTGAGCAAGAGTGTGCCTTGGCACGCCCAGGAGTCTGGGTATACCGACCCTGGCTGTGTACTGTCCTCTGCCTAGGCAGTCCGGCGCGGGTGAGCGGAACTGTGCCCGGTCTGCAGTGATTACTGATTATACCTAGCTGAACCTAGGCCGAACAAATGCATGACGGCTGCGGATGGGCGGCACTGGGCGCTGTGTTCCCCGACTGAATGTTCATGGTTTCAGACCATCACCCACCAGGATTGCATTTAAGCGAAAAACAGCAGCGTCGACGGGTCCAAATATATACCGTAGTGTAATAATTGTCATGGTTTCAGCCAGGGAGGAAGGAATGCAGGCAGTGCTGACTGCTGAGACATCTCCATCTTCTCCGTGTGCTATAATGGTAGACGACAGACAAGGGACAAGAATGCGAAGCTTTCTTATCTATCTATAAATGATAGATGCTGGATTTGAATCGAAAATAATAATAATCAACGTCATGTACGAACAATAGGATTGAGTCTGATAGCCTAGATCCAACTTCAGTCTCAATACTGTCTTCAAAGAGGAGCAGCATCTTTACACGAGCATGCCTATCGATAGCAATTAGCACGCAAAGCAATTTTCTGAAGAAAAAAGATCAAATCAACAAAACAATTGTAGACGAATAACTTTATTTAACAGTGTAGGGTAAGAGATCATAGCATGCAAGCACAAATATACTTTGGACATGCTACACGACAGAAGCAACATAATAAACACGTTCAGATTGGGTGTTGTGAAAAGCAGCAGCGGACTTTGGTCGGTCGCGGATCGCCAACGCGTCTCACAGACGCCAACATATATATCGGACATATACAGTTGTCGGTTACAATCGGTATAAGCTTCAAAAACAAAACAATACTCAGAGAGCAGGAAAACACTGCCTATGACACAACCTCTGCCATCACATTCTGTGGCCTCCCCACCGGCAAGGCCTTCAGATCTTGGCCACAAGCGGATATCAACTATCCCAGATCCTGTACACATGCGGATATCTGTTCTCATAAGCCCACAAATAGCTTTTCTCAGACGCCAAAAAACCATTGCCACACCAAGTCGACATCCGATGCCATCTCCAGTACAACATCGCGTATCGCACCAACCAACACACATAGAAGCCAAGCCGCGTACCGCCCATACCAATCTTTGGCGCTGGACACCATCTCCAAGCGCCCGTCGCTAGAACGCTCCCTCTCGCCCATCCAGCTCCAGGACGCTTGGCGAGTGGAGCTGGACACGCCATAACCCTGTTGACATCAACACCTCACCCTCCTCCATCTCCGGGCCGGCCACCCGCCAGCGGTGGCGCTCCTCTCCTCAGCGGTCCGTCTCCAGCCGCCGTGCAGTGAGCGTGGAATGTCGGTGGCGGCGCAGCTAGCTGCCGGGAGGTGCCTGTAGGGCGTGTGCTCGTCCGGCGCGTCAGTTGGCTGACGGACGGTCCCGCGAGGGGTCCAGTGTCATCTCGGACACAGCCAGGGCTGACTCCCACGAGGCCAGGCACTGCGGGCGATGAGAGCCTGGTTACACCGCAGCACTGTCATACTGTATAAAATCAACTCTCAGAGCCTCTTATTAGATCAGAGCTTCCGTCACTGCCATGTCGGCCATAAAAAGCTAGACTCTCAGCAAAGTATGTTGAACAGAGAGCGCTTCCCATGTCAAAGCGATTACATAGAAATCGCAGGCAAGTATAGTATATAGGCTCTGCATGATTTTATTATAATAAGAATAAGCTTCCAGTTTTAATAATTTCATCAAAACCTTGATTTATCATCATAACCGCTTGCACTCACCTCATCTTATTGGAACATCAGACGACCGTCTCACATATAATGCACACTGTATGCCAGCTTCAGGCTCAGCAAGGAAACAATATGTGCATGCCAAACCGACGCACCAACAGCAAACCAAGACCAAAAGCCAGCCACCGGACGTGCAGTGTTGAAATAAAATACACAGGTGCCCAACTGAAAAAGCAAAGCTGAAGGGTGGTATGTTATAGCTAACAAACGGTACCTTTTTCTTGGTAATTGGTTATATGGTACAAAACGCTCTAAAGCAAGCAGAACACACCTACAAACATTAAATGATACGACTGCACCCACGGAAGCGAGATGACAATAATAAACAAGCGAAAAGAGCCTTCATAGAAGCATGGGCGAGGAAGTAGCAGGTTCGTCTAATGTCTCTACGCGTTTGTTCCCTCGCCCCCTCACCAATCTTCAATAGAACTCATGAATGAAATGACAATGAAATTCATCAATAGAGCGGAGGCGGGGCCTAGTTAAACTAGCAGCGGTGTGTGATTTTGTAGCGGCGCATATTATGGTGCATCTCCTCTGTTCATCACTTTCAGCAGTGAGAAACAGTGGAGGTGGCAGCACTCGAGCCGCGTCAGTCGACTACTTCCTGATAACGTCGACCCTTGGTCTGATACCCATCCCTTCTACGTACGTGGGGCTCTCTTACCTTCCGACCAACGGTCTGTCGGTGTCTTATGGGGATGGAAGAAGCACCAAAGATTGCAGAATGCCTCGTGAATAGATTGTAAGCTCCTTTTATCGGTTGGAACTTAAAACATATTCAATTGATAAAATAGCATGGTTTCCGACAGACAGAAGAAACCCCCCGACGTCAAGTTTGACGAGACCCATTAAAAACAATGAGAAGAAGTGCCCGTATTCTACCTGACACAATGTTCGTCAGAGACAAAATTGCATCATTGATGCTCAGGAATCTCTAGCGTCGCATGTTGATATTAATCTCAATATCCTAAAAATGCTGCTCCTAATGCTAATTAGGGACTGTGATACCTGTTTTGCACCAGGTTTTACGAAAACCCACACATCAACTACATAATCACCACACGATTCAGTGTGACGTACACTACTCTAAGCCAGGCAGCAGGGCGCCTTGCTGCAGGATGCCGGCGAACCACGCTCCAGGAGGGCGGCTCTCGCTCCACCACTGGCCCAACAACCAACAGCCAGGGATAGGCAGACATGCACACATGCTCAGGGGACCATCACCATATACTCAGGTCCCGTAGGGTCACCCACCACCACAGGACCCAGTCTTACGAAGTGGCGTGAACTATTTGATTTCGCAGATTTGACTGTCGATTTTATAGGCTACCGAAAATAAGCTACATTGTCGGTGTAAAATGTTTTGCGCGCAAGTATTCAAATATTGATTTAAGACTCCATTGAATGACAAATATTCATGTTTAGCACTTCCAACCATCACTGCAAAATACAAATGATTACGGAGCGAGCGAAGCGAGCGGAGTCTTTCCTTAGATTAACGGAAATATCTGAGTATGAGCGGCCGGCCGGCCGGCCGTGCTTATATCTCAGCAACCACTTGACCGATTTACATGCGGTAATTTTTGTAGGGTAGCTTCATTCCTTCTACCAAGTATTGGACTATTCCCGATACATGTGGGTGACCCCTTATGCACGTGCCACGTGCAAAAGGAAGAGGTGTCACTTTCGTAATTGTTGCAATATCTCGGTAACTACTTGGCCGATTGCGCTGAAAGTTGGCCTGTAGGTAGGCACCCACTAGGCACTGCATATCCATGTGCCAGAGTTGGGGTGCTGCTGCACGTGCGCACGTGCAGGGGTCGTTTCCAGATCTCGAGAACGGCTGGACCGATGGCGCTCAAATTTGGTACACGGCTAGGGACCAGTTAGTAGGGTGCCGTGCACAAGTCAGTTGGGACCCATTTTGCACGTGCGCACGTGCAGAGTGCCGCTTCCAGATCTCGAGAACGGCTGGGCCGATTGTGCTCAAATTTGGCACATCGCAAGAGACCGGTTAGTAGGGTGCCGTGCACAAGTCAAGTTGGAGGTACCCCCTCGAAATTTCGCACGTGCAAGGCTCACCCTCTCGCTCGCTCCGTTAGTCGCCCCAAAAGGCGTTATACTGGTGCAAAGTGGGGTATAAGACAAAGTACGCTACTTCGTAAGACTGGTCTCAAAATATGCCCCGTCCAAGCTACCTAACTGGTCAGTTCATCATAGCAGCCAGTGCGCATGTTCAGCGGCGGGGTATGTGGAGAGAATGGGATAGGCACCCCGGCAGCGAGGACCCACCTCCTCGTAGAAGTTGATCTGGCTGTCGCCCATGGCGCCGAGCAACTGAGAGATGTCGCGAACCTTGAGCTTCTCCCAGCGCTCCATGTCGGCGAGCAGGTTCGAGTTGGCGCACTCCAGACGGTCGTTCAGAGACTGATAAACAAATACGGCACAATCACTGGTCAGTCACTCCAGACGGTCGTTCAGAGCCTGAGACCCAGAGACACGGCACGGTCAGTCACTCCAGACGGTCGTTCAGAGACTGATACAGACAGAAACACAGCAGTCAGTCACTCCAGTCGGTCGTTCAGAGACTGATACAGACAGAAAGACGGCATGGTCAGTCACTCCAGACGGTCGTTCAGAGAATGACACAGAGACACGGCACTGTCAGTCACTACAGAGACTGACTGATACAGACAGAAACACGGCACGGTCAGTCACTCCAGATGGTCGTTCAGAGACTGAGACAAACAGAAACACGGCACGGTCAGTCACTCCCCAGACGGTCGTTCAGAGACTGATACAGACAAAAATGCGGCACGGTCAGTCACTCCAGGCGGTCGTTCAGAGACTGAGACAGACAGAAATACGGCACGACCGGTCACTCCAGACGGTCGTTCAGAGACTGAGACAGACAGAAACACGGCATGGTCAGTCACTCCAGACGGTCATTCAGAGAATGAGACACAGAAACACGACACGGTTAGTCTGCAAGCACTCAACGGTTGTTCAGAGACTGAGAACAACAGAGATAAAGACATGGGTAGTGGACACGGCTAGTTTCGCAAGACAGTCGTTCAGAGACTGTCACACACAGACAGACCCAGTGACACAAGGTGCCAGCTGAAAACTGACACCTAGACCCAGCACGCACACACAACACACATTTAGCTGCTGACATACCTCCAGATCGACCTTGAGCTGGTGGAGCTGTTTGCCGAGTTTCTCCTCCTCGGCTTTGAGGGCCTCGGGGGTGGCGCGACTGAACACCCAGCTCAGGCCGGATGGGGCGTGACCGGCGTTCACCTGAATCACAGGGGTCACAGAGGTCAGCACTGGTCGGCGGCGAGGTCACATATATTCTGGTTACGGAGCGAGCGAAGCGAGCGTAGTCTTTCCTTAGATTAACGGAAATTTCTGAGTATGAGCGGCCGGCCGGCCGGCCGGCCGGCCGGCCGGCCGGCCGTGCGGACGCTTTTGCGAGGCTTATATCTCAGCAACCACTTGACCGATTTACACGCGGTAATTTTTGTAGGGTAGCTTCATTCCTTCTACCAAGTATTGGACTATTCCTGATGCATGTGGGTGACCCCTTATGCACGTGCCACGTGCAAAACGAAGAGGTGTCAGTTTTGTAATTGTTGCAATATCTCGGTAACTACTGGGCCGATTGCGCTGAAAGTTGACATGTAGGTAGGCACCCACTAGGCACTGCATATCCATGTGCCAGAGTTTGGGTGCTGCTGCACGTGCGCACGTGCAGGGGTTGTTTCCAGATCTCGAGAACGGCTCGACCGATTGCGCTCAAATTTGGTACACAGTTAGGGACCGGTTAGTAGGGTGCCGTGCACAAGTCAGTTGGGACCCATTTTGCACGTGCGCACGTGCAGGGTGCCGCTTCCAGATCTCGAGAACGGCTGGGCCGATTGTGCCCAAATTTGGCACATCGCTAGAGACCGGTTAGTAGGGTGCCGTGCACAAGTCAGTTGGAGGTACCCCCTCGCAATTTCGCACGTGCAGGGCCCACCCTCTCGCTCGCTCCGTTAGTCGCCCCAAAAGGCGTTATACTGGTGGTAGACATTTAGATCATGAAAAACCATCCTGGCTGACAGTTGATTTAATGACCGCCGGAAATGATCCCTCGTTAGTGATGACTTATCAGACTTGTGAAAAAAAAATCAATCGAGGCAATCCACTGTTTTGAAATACACCCCAATAAAAATCACATGCAGCTTCAAAACAATGAATAATTAACCCTATTCCTGGCGGGCTCCGCCGGGACAAGAAACTGGCGGGGGGGGGGGGGCCGATTCGGCCCCCCCTGAGATCTCGAGAACGAAGCAAGATAGCGACAAACGGTAAACGGCATCGGATACGCACGGTCAAGATCTACAATTTTTACTAAGGTCATTTTCAGGTCAGGTCAAAGATGACGTCACAGGGGTCGAAAAAGTCAAAATGGCGGCGCTAGATATGGAGAGAGTTTTTCTCGAATAACTTTCGAATTAGTCAAGATAGGAACAAACTAAGGGCATCATCGTGATCCTCTCGTCAATCCGCATCGAATGATATATATGTTGACCTCGCAAGGTCAAGGTCAAAGGTTGACCTCAGGTCACGTGACCTCGAGGTCATCATGTATATCATTCGATGCGTCTTGACGAGCTGAACACAATGAGACCATCCACGCGTCTGTATATTGTTCCTGTACGGAGTTATTGGCCAAAAACCTTTGGTGACCTTTGATGACGTCACATGACCTCACAGCTGCCCAACAGCAAAACAGACCTCAAGGTAGTGAAGGTTGATCGTATATGAAGTCATGTATGGTATATGGGGCCATTCCGACCCGTTTTAGTGGTAAAAACAGGGAGTTGATTTTTCCCCCATTGACTTATAATGGGGAGGTCGCGAAACTGACCTGACCTTAGGTCACCGATATCAAAATTCCGAGATATACAAATTGCACATACTGGTACCCTAACTAAAGCCTGAAGAGAAGAAATTGATCGGTCAAAAACTCTAGCTCTGGCGTGATTGCAAACTTTTCTGAGGTAGGGTCACCAAACCGCCTCTGGTGACCTGACCTGAGGTCAGATCAACTCAAAATTTTCAGACATGTTGCGTAGAAGCCTTTTAGGAAAAGTCAGAAAATTTGAGCTTCCTAGCTCAACGCGTTTGGGAGAAATAACCAAAAAACCTCAGGGGGGGGGGGGCTCCTGAGGCCCCCCCCCCGCCAGGAATAGGGTTAAGCCATCCAGCAATTCTGTCTTGACGACGCGTCAAGCCTCGGTTCCCCGGACCCGGTCGTCTCTGACCTGCGCCCGCTCGGCCTCCTTCCGCTGTATTTCCGCCGCCGTGGCCTCGAACTGCGCCTGTACGGCGTCCCGGCGTCCGAGCGCCTCCCGGATCGCCTCTGCGTACAGCACGTACTCGCGCAGCGGCTGCTCGAGCTGCGCCGGCTGCGCGTCCGTCACGGCCTGCTCGGCGGCCGCGCAGCGCGATACGGCGCCGGCGGCGGCGCGCAGCAGCGGCCCCAGCTCCGGCTCCGAGGCCGACATCAGCGTCAGTGTCGGATGCAGCCGCTGCATCTCACCGATCATCACTGCCCGGAGAGGGAGGGGAGGGGTGAGGGGAGCTGCAACTACCGTTAACGAGATGTGGAACACAGGCAACATGGTCCGACAAGTGTGCTTGAAAAGTTTAGTATCCGAACTAGGAACTACGGTGAGGCAAACCATCTGTTTTTCAGGCCACAACATCACAAAAACGTGCACACCACCAGCTCCTCAAAACGCTCGCATTGAACGATGGTGGTGGTAGTTTGGTGTTTTGGGCGCTCGGAATGACGAAGTCACCGGTGCATCCCTCGTATTGAGCAAAATACCACTCGAAACGCTAGTGCCACATCTCACTGCCCTGAGTCCGTTCCAGTCCTCACCTGTCTTGTCCTTATGGATGCGGCTGCTGGCCTTCTCCAGGGCAGTCAGCTTGTCGCTCAGCTTCTCGGCGTAGTCGAGCACGCGCTGGATCTCCGGTGAGCGGCTCTGGACGCCGGCAGTGGTGAGGCCGTGCAGCGACTCGGAGACGCGGTTCAGCACACTGCGACCCCGACTGCGGTGCACGGCAAACTCCTGCGGAGAGAAGGTATCAACGGTCACACTTTTGGAAAGCAGTCGCCTAGGGGTGGAAAGGGCTGATCACAGAGAGTAGAGGGAAAATGCACAAAGCACGTTGATCTGGGGGTGTAAATAGAGGGAAAGTTGATAGGCATAGAGAAGATAAGTTGTGAAAACGGCAAAGGAATGGATCTTGAAAGTAAAACCAAGGTGCAAAACAGCGAGTATATTTTGCAAGCACATATAAAGCCAATAAATGTGATGCAAAAAAAAAAAACAATACTGCGTCAAACAGCCGGAGCCAAAACCCAACGAAACGGCATGGTGCACTTATTAAAACAACCACAGGCACACCAGATCACCAGCTGACCTACTTGCAATTTGCAAGCTGATCCACAGTCCAACCCCGGTCCTCGGCACACCCTCGGTAAGCAGCGTCCCTCTCCTCACCGACGGTTTGGAGACGAGGAACAGCTTGAAGCTGTCGTTGCAGCTGAGCACGGGGTGGTCGGCCACGCGGTTCATGAAGCGGTGCAGCAGCGCCATCCGGGACCGGATGAAGTCGCGCTGGTAGCGGTCCAGCTGACCCAGCAGGCTGTGCTTCTCCGGTAGAGGCTGGGGACACGGGAGGAGGAGTGGTGGTGTTGGCATTTTCAGAGCGTCCAGACCGCAGATTAGCCAGTCGGTGCCCGTAATGTACGAGTGGAGTTTATACATGATACACGATCACTTGGTGACATGAATAGCCGCTGAGGCCTGTGGTGGGATCGATACAAAAAGAGAGTCAAAATACGGGTCCGGACTCCGGAGTCACATCATCAACGGAACGGTAGGTTAGCATACCAATTACCAGTCGACTCCAGAATCGGCAACAAATCGATGTGTCCCCCCAATGTCAACAAAAATGATCGTGAGTACGCCTGCATTTTATCGTAACGTAACAAATACAAAATACATCAACCACATCTGAGCTCGAGCCTCATCAAGACACGGTAAGTCAATACATTAGAAATAAATCGACTGAGCCCTACGAGCTGCCATCGTCTTATTAGCTCGATGCACATATAGCTGATGTGGAAGCCGGACACATACCGGGACAATGTGAGTAGGGTATGCCTCGGTGAGGCGCGCTCTCAGCCACAGAAACTCGTTGTACCGGCGCCGGACAGAGTACTCGCTGTCGTCAAACTCGGCGCGCGATGTCTGCAAGAGAAGCAACAATTAGCGCAGCATCCGCGACACGGCATAGGAAAAGAATGTTGAGAAAAAATACGAAGCAATCCATTTTTTTTTTCACAACACAACTTCCAGATTGGTGCCAACCCCAAACAGTTGGCAGCAAAATGATGAGGAAGCACACACCTTAGTTGATATGCGGAATGTAATGTAGGTCTCCATGCTGGTGACATGCTTCTGTGGGTCATCGACCTTGATCTGCAGGTCACGTGTGTCGGTCGGGTCAAGGTCATCCCAGGAGACGCTGGCCACGGATGGCGTGGCAATCTGTGGAACGGCAATCAGTCAGCTATGACTTAGCAGGGCATAAAAGACACAGGATGGTAATGAGAAACCAACTGGACAGCTTGTGAAGTTGAACATACAAACAATGTGCCTGTAAAAATAACTGTAGGGCTGAATCAGCACCTCAGGGCCTTGCACTATGGAACATATGCAACTCAAATGCAGCACTGAGACAATGCATAAGATTAGAGCATGAAAATAACTTTATATGTGAGCAATCAAAATTATACTTAATAACATCAGAAGGGCTATTTTGTAGCTATTATTTGGCACATCGATGTGAAGCGAGAGAAGACCAGCTAACTAAAGTTCTTTGTGAGACATCCATGGTCAGTGAAACTCACATATTGTGAATTGTTGACTTCGTCAATCATTGAAGACTCATCGGCCAGATTCAGAACTGAAGGCTTCACAGCAGCCTCCTGGGTAACATCCAGAGTTGCCATTGTCGGACTTGCCATCAATATTTACCGCTAAAAGTAGCTTAACAGCAGAACAGAAACCCTGGCTGCAAAATATGGCAAGGGACCTGCAACAAAATGTTATCTGTTGTCAAACAAGTGGTGCAGAAACGGGAAATGTCCTCTAAGCCAAAGGCTGTTGGTGGTAGCACAGCAGGAAAGCTACCAGTGGGGAGGGGGGGGGGGCGTAGAGTAAAACATTATTTAATCCTCACGCTTACAGAAGATCGGATTACCCCCCCCCCCTATGGGTTTTACGAAAACTTGCGAAAAACGCTGCTGATCGCGACAGAGAGCTTGCAGTACCCTAGAGCTATCATTTTTACACCTACCTAGTACCTACCCTGAAAAAAATCATGCTCCTTCACGAACCTGGCCCAAATGCCCTTATTGATCTGTGACCTGTTTCCCGAGACCTGTCATGCACGAATCGCGATTCGGCGCATGTCGCCCCACATTATTCATTCATTTCCAGACTTTTTTTGTGTTTAGAAACGTACCATCATGTAAAGTGATGTTTGTCCCACGCATTATGGTGATTGGTGGGTTTCAACTTTCAAGGTCCTCTGAAAGTTACTTCGAGGACACTGACCCTTTGGTAACCCCCAGTGACGTTGAGCTCCTACCACTTTCGAGGTTTTTGGAGCTGAAGGACTGACCTGAAAACTATGAGGATACTTTAAACTTTGAACTCTTTATTCTGTTGTTAACAAGAAATTGCAAAATCAAAGGGTAACGGGCAAAATCAACTTAACCCTCGCCCGTATTGGTGTTTTTCCAGCCGCGAACGTATAAGGGGGGGGGGGGGGGTCCGTTGCTATGGTCCGCTGGACCCCCCCCCCCTGCCGTTTCGCCCTGATCGAGCTAGAGCTTCGCGGAAAAAAACGAGCGTGTTGCCCGTGACGAGAGGAAGCAGATGATACCCAATTTTAAGGTCCTAGGTCATCGGTTGACCTTCCAGGTCAGGTCAATGACCCAAAAGTCGGGAAAATCGGGACCTGTCAGAAAGTCGTAAAGCGTGGCTGCTATGGGGTTTTTCGGGGTGCTGATCACGCATATCATGTTGATTTTGATCACAGATGATGTCTTCATGCATTTAGGCCAGGTCGGGTCAGGGCAGGTCAGGTCAACCAGTAAGGGTCTTCGTAGTAGGTGGCAACCGCCTCTGACAGCTTCGTAACATGTTACGAAGGTGCCAAAACTACTTCGTAAATGTGAATATGGTTGCTAAATTCGAATTCAGCTCCAAAAACTGGCCAAGAAACATGTAAAACTCGAAAAAGTGAACCGAGGTCATCAAAGGTGAATGACCTGACCTGACCTTCCGGTGACCTTGACACCCATCCTAATGCATGGGAGCAACATCATATCCCATGTTTGACCGCTTAAAACCACGAAAAGACTGCAAACGCGCGGCTAATGCGAGCCGACATACGCCGAATCGCGATTCCGGCCAAACATGGCCTCGAAAAGTAGGTCACAGGTCAAAGGTCATTAGGGTCAGGGTCATGAAAATTTCAGGGTAGGTGTAAAATTGATTAACACGAGGGTACTGAAAGCTTCGTCGCGATCGGCCGCTTTTTACGCGAGTTATTCGCGAAAAACCGAGGGGGGTCCGTTCGACCCCCCTCCTATACGGGCGAGGGTTAAGTTACCTACCTATGCTTAGCAGTAAGCAGAGGCTCTGTCCTTAAAGGGACCCTCCCACCTTAACATTAGTTTTGAGTTGAGATAGCCAAATTGGTGGCCATGGCCTGAAAATACCGGTTTGGGCATTCACAACATCGAAAAATGCTTTAATTCGAAGATATGGAATTTCAAACTTGCAGTTTTCGGATTCTAAGGGGCTAATGCATTGGTATGCCCCCTTAGAATTTGTGACGTCAGCGGAGATCTAACGATTTTTAAATCTTTTACTAAAACGTTTGGCAGCACGCGGTGGTATATGCTGCTTTGCGCGCAACAAATGCCGCACTTTCAAATAAAGTCGCTAGGAACAGCGGAGATCCCAAAAAGTAAACAAAAGTAAAAGTCTAATATCTTGAAAACCGGTGAATATTTTTCGATGAAATTTGGTAGATATTCATTTTTGCTCTTTCTGAACCGAGCGACATCACTTTCATGCCAATTCATTAACTTTTTTGAAGGTGGGAGGGTCCCTTTAAGAATCCTTTCATTCAAATTATTCAGACTTTAGGGCTTTAGACTATATGCATAAAAATGCATACTTTCCACTTTACAGTCTGGTGCCTGCAGAGGTGCGGCTAGCCCTGGCCCATTTCATCGCACACTGCTGGCCATTACTAGCACTACTGCGCTTTCAATTTCCATAAAAACATGCATAAATGTTTATGCGAGCATCTCAGTTTGTTGATGTTTCCATAGAAACTGAATGCATAATAGCACTAGTAGCATACCTGTGAAACAGCACCTTTACCCTAGGCCTTGTTTCATGGCACTCTGGTGACCTTCTCCTTTTGTACCCTTCAAAAACATGAATGGAAGGACACATCTTCCTCAGGTTGAAAAGTGAGACCACACTTGATACCTATGACACTTTTTAGTTTTTAAACAAATCATTTATAAACTTACACCCAACCACATTGACATGTTCATGTCCATTGTTCAGTCCAGTCAGGGAAGGTTAACCCCGCGTTCGATGTCTCTCGGACAGCGAAGATTCTACGTCGTCTGGCCAATCACGTTCCAGAACTGCAGGCGAGCCCCCGCTGACCTTGGACGGGATTGGCCAGACGACGTAGAATCTTTGTCGTCCGAGAGACATCAAATGCGAGGTAAGTTACATTGGGTACCTAGGTAAGGTTAGGTCAGGTGGTTTTATTTCTGCTTCAGGTGCACCTGATTATTTAACATTAAATGATTGAATCAACAATCTTCTATGTTGATATATGGTTTGTTTAACATTATATGGTCTTTATTCAATTTAGCCTAGGGTGCAAAAAGGGTGATTTTAACGCGGCACTCTTATGGCACTCTGACTCTGGCACTAATAGCACTATTGCACTTTCAGCTTCCATAAAAAATTTAATCAATTTAATTGTGAGCATCCAAATTTGTTTGTAGCAACTAGCAGTGCAGACTTCTCCAGTCAAGTTCAAGTTCAGTGAAGTGAAACAGAATGAGAAAGGCTGGATCAGACTGGACTCTTCCCATCCTGATCCTTGGTCCGGCATTATACCTGTAAAATGGTGAGGAATTATAGCTATTCACACATCACGAAGGTCTCATTTAGGATAGAAATTGATTATTCTTTAAGATAACCACACAACACGGCGAATTTCATTAAATTTTACTGAAAATTATGCAATTATCTATCGGCTTTATGCTCAGTAACCATCAACCTATTTTGCCGCCGCTGCGCTAGTTCGCCATCAACGCCCGTTCTGTCACTATTTTTTATTTACCAGTGGAAACGACAAACTGGGGCCCTGAGGGCTGTTCACGACATTGACCTCTAGAAGTCTAGACACACTTTTAGACTTTTCATAACGTGCCGCCCGGCAACGCTGTAAAACTCAAGGTCATTCTGACAGGGGGGCATTCGTCGGCCTGCGGCAAACGTTCACCGTTGTTTGTCGTATTCCCGTTGGTGAGCGGTCTTGCTAAAACTCGGAAATGACGAAAAGTTGTTCTGCGATCGGGTGCACGAAGAGGCAAGGAGGTCAACCCAGGCATGGCACCGTTTTGTCGTTCCACAAGTAAGTTTATGTGCCTGAATTAGCTTTTTAAGGATCTTCTTTTTAAAGATAGGTCTGCGCCGTTATTGTCGTCAGGCGTGCTGCGTTTCGGCATAAATTGAAACACATATTTCTAATTATTAATTCGGTTGAGTTGAGAAAGAGAATGATAGATTAAGATGCGTTAAGTATAATTTCATGTATTTCTGAACAATAATGCTATTTTTACCTTGTTGATTGCTGCCATCAGGAGGAATTTTCTACACTGGAAACAGTTTGAGATAACTAAATCCAATTAACCCAAATCACATAAAAACCTAACCTGAAAGACTCATAGCCATCAGTTGAGAATCCACATTATTTCAAAATTCAATATTGTGTTAGGAAAAGGCAAAAGCAGTGATGTGGTTAATGATAAGTGATACCTAACCAGCAAAGTAATACCACGTAAAAATCACAAGATCCTACAAGCACAGTGATCCGTCATCAGAAAGATTTAAGCTTTTTACAGGGAATTGAAATGTGTGTTTTGGTAAGAATAGTCATATGAAGTAAAAGCAAATCTAATTTTTTCTTATCATTCATGGAAATGTAACTACGCGTGCTTACTGCGTAGCCTCTCATAAAACCGTGGCCGTGGGCAGTGGGCTTGACGAGATAGTTATCTCTGGGCAGCCCAGATCCTGTCAAAAGGACAGTTTACCCTCAGTTATCTGTTAGCCTACCCAAAATTGTACCTTTGTCACCCGATCTATGTCACACTTGCCCTGCTTTCCATGTGTTCTGCCCTATCTCGAGTAGGTACTGGCCTGAAATCCCTGAATGATGCCATATTTTTTCAGAGCCGCCCCAGTTAGATCATGTCAAACCCTGCCATGTTTTTCAGACTGTTTTTTTAGCTTCTTGCTGTCCAAGAAGTGATATTTTGATGATTTATTATGGATAAAAATGTGAAAACTAAATTGATTACCTACTAACTTTTATTTGTTTGCATTATCTGCTTTGTCTATAAGGAGGCTGAAAAGGACTTATATTGAGGACATTACATCATAGATGGGCTAACATCATAGATGGGCTAAGCTCAACTGCTGTAGCCTGATCACGGAAATCAAAGCTTGGGCAGTGTCAGTATTACAACAGTAAACCCATCTGTCCTATCCTACAGCTGCCATCTGTTCTGGTTTCTTATTAAGCTTCTTAAGCTTGAATGGAATGATTGACTAAAAAGAGCAATTGTAATATAGCATATAAAGTATAACAAACAACATTACAATCTACCTACTCTGTATTGTTAACACAAACGTGTTTCGTATTAACATCACCAGTATATTAATCTGATACAGAGAGACAAATTATAGTATCAAGAGAATAAATAATATAAAAGAAAATACGTTCTAAGTATTGATTCTTGCTGTATGTCCTGGTGTCTATAATGTCCATTATATATTTTTACTGACATGTTGTCAGTTTTGTTTGATAGGTAATGTCTACAGACTTCAGATATCAGGCTTAAAACAGTTTTCTTTTCTTTCAGGTTTCCTCATGAAGATCCAAAGCTGCTAAGAAAGTGGATGGCTGCAGTGCGGCGACGAGGAGATCACGGAAGGCCATGGAAGCCATCACTGACTGCCATGCTCTGCAGTGATCACTTCTCTGAAGATGACTTTCGTCCCAGCCATAAGCGCAGAGTTCTTCGTGAGGGAACCATCCCATCTTGGTTTGTGTTCCCAGGGAAAAGCGGTCAAGCTGAACGCAGAAGTCCCCTGAAGCGAGCTGGTGCCAGCTTGTCTTCACCCAAGGCCAAGCGAGTGAGACGGGTACTGCTTAGGAATACAGATATGTCCGGCCTGTCCGGGCCATCAGAGTCGCAACAGCAGCAGGCTGCCTCAGAAGAGGTCCCAGAGGAGGTCCAGCTGCTCACAGTTTCAGAGGAGCCTGTGCAGTTCACTGTTGTGGAGGAGCTCCCGCAGCCCACTGTCTCGGAGGAGGTCGAACAGTCCACTGCCTCCAAAGAGCCTCAGCAGCCCACTGTACAAGAGCTCCAGCCGACTCTGCTGGACCACAGCTACTCCTCTAGTGCGGCAGAGCGCCACATCCACAGTCCAATGAAGAAGATGGTGGCCAAGGTTCGCCAGCTAAACTATGAGAAAAAGAAGCTGCGTCAAAAACTGAAGAGACGCGATAGGCGGCTGAAGTGCCTGAAAAGCACGTTGGATGCACTCAAGGAGAGCCAGGTGATGGATGCTAACCTGTTGGACAGCATCCGTGCGCGCTTTGAAAATCCAATTGTGTCAGAGCTATTTGCCAACGAAGTAGTGAACGGTGGTCGCAAAAAGCGTGGTGGGCGAAGATATTCCGAGGAGATAAAAAAGCTCTGCCTCACGCTACATTACTACTCTCCCAGAGCGTACAAGTTCCTCGCTAAGAACTTCTCCCTTCCTGGTGTAACCTCGCTGCAAGAGTGGACAAGGAGCGTCGGATGCGAAGTCGGTGTCCTCGACGAGGTCTTACAGACCCTGGCCTCTCAAGTAGCCTCGAAGAAAATCGACCCAAACTGCTGCCTCATGGTAGATGAGATGGCTATCCGAAAGGCAAAAGTGTACTCCCAGCCCAAGGACAAGTTTGTTGGCCATGTCGACCTGGGAGCAGGTGATGTGGAAGACTCTAGACTGGCCACAAATGCCATGGTGTTCATGGCCGTTGGGTTGAAGGGGGTGTGGCGCCACCCAGTCGCGTACTTTTTAACTGATCACCTGACGGGAGAGACGCAGGCTGAGCTGACCAAGACCGTCCTACGTGCCCTGAACTCAGCAGGTCTGAAGGCTAGGACGCTTGTGGACGCTTGTGGCGTCGGTTTATCCCGTTTAATAAACCGTAAACATGTTTATTTTTTGAAGGACCAATCAGCGTCGACCTGATCCTGACGTCACCTCTCGTCAATGACGTCAGACCTCCGCCGTAAACCGTTTATGCGGTTGATGCCTCAGAGCATCAACATGGCGCGTAAACGCGTTTATGTGACAATGATGGCGATGTGCGGCAAACTCGTGAGGCGAGTTATGAGTTAGGAAATTTGAATTCGGACAGTTCAGGGGCTGGTAGGTGAGTAATTGAGTTTCAGAATAACCCTGCACGGGTTGCAGAGGACTGGAATGGTAGGTTTTATTATTTCATTGTAATTAAGACCTATTTTGAGCATCATTCTCTGCTAACCAGCGTCTAGCGTCGTGGGTATTTTGTGGTGAAAACTGTCCTTATTCTTGCAATATGTCATGACATGGGACATATTTCCATCAGATTATCTTTTCTTTGCACCTTTTACACTGTCGTCTCAACTGCTTATTAGTTGTCACTGTTTAAGTAAACACTTGTGTTTCGTAAACGTAAACGCCGTGTGACGTCACAGCCGGGAACGTGCCCCGAGGGCAGTTTATGTAAACCACATAAACCGACGTCGTGAACAGCCCTCTGGGTAAACATTGAGAATTGCGTATGCCCACCACTTCATTCATTTTTATCTTGATCACCTATATACGGCATTGCTTGATCATGATCACTTATAAGTTTTAGCAAGACGGATCGACGGCATACAAACTGACAATGTAACAAAGGTAACATAGTAAAAAGGTAAAATGTAACCAAGGTAAAGGTAGCATAACAAAATGTAACGGGCTGTTACCTTCTCTTCCAATTCAGTTGGGCAAACTAGACCTTTGGAATCAAAATATGGAGGCATCAAAAGATTGATTCCTTTTGGGCATAAATGCAGACCATTTCTAACTTACCAATCACATAAAAATAAGAGAGTGTTTCAAGAAGGAGCATGCCTGATCTTGAACAGAAATGCTTGAACTATCTCCTAAGCAAAATAATATTGCTCCTATCATAACAATTTGAATCCTATAGGTAGTGAAAGCCAATCAAGGAATTGATTCACTTTAAACAGATAATCATAATATTGATTCCTCATCAGCTGGCTAATCATTATTTTGATTCACAGGTAATGTTTACAGATAGGCAACAATGACTTGCAAGAATGCAGCATTTATCTTGCTATTATTCTCATTTAGTGGTATCCTCAGCACCACAACTGATACCTATGGCATTGTTGTACTTTACCTTCACTACATTTGATAACAATTCACAATTTTTAAATGTCAAAAATACAAAAACTGAAGCAACAGGTAAAAACCATATAAATAATATAAAAGCACTACAACAATGATAATTAGGGGTTTAAAAATTTCATTTTGCCATTTTGCACAAATACTGATTGGTTAGTATGTGATTCATGATACAAAAATAACATACAGTGTGATTTCCTCAAAACAGCTTTTACGTGATGGATAGTGGCTCTGTCTTTTTCCCATTCACAAGGCCAAAGGGACAATTTCTTAGCTTTGAGGTAACACTTTTTGCAAACCTACCACATTTTTCTACCTTTTAAAAGAAAAATCTCACCGTCATGGGCCTTTTTTCAACCGTAACGATTCATTTGAAGTCAAAAGTGTACCCAAATGAATCAAAAAATTGATTCCATGCCCATATTTGGTCATGGCTCCTCCCACCAGAATCAAATTATTGATGCCTCCATATTTTGATTCCAAAAGTCTAGTTTGCCCAACTGAATTTGCTTTCAATACCGTTCCAACTTTGTGGGATGATAGGGCGAAAACAAGTTGAACAATTATTATGTGCCTACCGTGA